AGGAGTTTGAGACCAGCTTGGCCAACGTGGTGAAACCAAATGTCTAATAAAAATAAAAAAATTAGCCAGGTGTGGTGGTGCACACCTGTAGTCTCAGGTACTCCAGAGGCTGAGACAGGAGAATCGCTTGAATGCAGGAGATGAAGGTTGCAGTGAGTCAAGATTGTGCCACTGCACTCCAGCCTGGGCAAGAGTGAGGCTCTGTCTCAAAAAAAAAAAATGATGAAAGCAAAAAAAAAAAAAGGGCTCAACAAAGACAAAGCCACCCAAAATGAATTATTTAAGATTACCACTGAAAGCATACTTGATGCCAGTCTTTATTTTAGCAGAGTCAAGGAGTTTGGTCCTCAGATAGTTGTAAACAAAGTAATGCTATTTCAGTCTTTTCAAATCCTAAAAATACAGCCCGTCATGACCATTCCAGTAGAATAGATTCAAATCTGGCTTAGCCATTAACTAGCTGCCCAACACTGAATGAGTTACCTTAATCTGTCAGCTTCAATTTCTGCAGATGTTTTTAAAAAAAAAAAAAAAAAAGGCTACTTGGGCTGGGCGCGGTGGCTCAAGCCTGTAATCCCAGCACTTTGGGAGGCCGAGGCGGGTGGATCACGAGGTCAAGAGATAGAGACCATCCTGGTCAACATGGTGAAACCCTGTCTCTACTAAAAATACAAAAACTTAGCTGGGTATGGTGGCGCATGCCTGTAATCCCGGCTACTTGGGAGGCTGAGGCAGGAGAATTGCCTGAACCCAGGAGGCGGAAGTTGCAGTGAGCCGAGATCGCGCCATTGCACTCCAGCCTGGGTAACAAGAGCGAAACTCTGTCTCAAAAAAAAAAAAAGGCTACTAATGGTACTTCCTTACAAGTTTAGGATTAAATGAACTAATAATGCATTTAAACAGCTTAATGTTTGGCCCATGGTACACAATCTAGCATTAGCCATCATTATTGGTAAACCTTGTTTAGGCAGCTTTTCTGCAAGCTGTCCACTAAGTTTACTTAAAAAGATTCTTGCATGTAAGGGTACCTTAATATTTTTGATACAGCATTCATCAGCATCATTTAAAAGTCTTTCCAGACATGCTTAATAAAATGGGCTGGGCGCTGTGGCTTACGCCTGTAATACTAGCACTTTGGGAGGCCCAGGTGGGCGGATCACCCAGTTAGGAGTTTGAGACCAGCCTGGCCAACAGGGCAAAGCTCTGTCTCTACTAAAAATATAAAAATTAGCCAGGCATGGTGGAAGGCGCCTGTAATCCTAGGTACTCAGGATGCTAAGATAGGAGAATCACTTGAACCTGGGAGGCAGAGGTTACAGTGAGCAGAGATCCACCACTGCACTCCAACCTGGGTGACGGAGCAAGACCCTGTCTCAAAAAAAAAAAATTAGCAAGACATGGTGGTGGGCGCCTGTAGTCCCAACTACTTGGGTGACTGAGGTGGGAGAATTGCTTGAACCTGGGGGGCAGAGATGGTGAGCCAAGATCGTGCCATTGCACTCCAGCCTAGGCAACAAGAGCGAAACTGTCTCAAAAAAATAAATTCATATCCAACAAGTACCCAGAGATGTTTAGCTTAATTCTGTCATGTACTTATTTGTTAAATAACAAATCACTTTAAATTACACAGCTGAATTCACCTAGTGTTCAACTACTGATTTCCAGCACAAACTTTATGTAGAACTAATAAAACTCCATTTCTGAGTTCTATCATCACATAGTAAACCTAGTACAGCTTGCTGCCCACAGAAGTTGTTTAATAAATTTAACTGACTGGGTGCGGTGGCTCATGCCTGTAATCCCAGCGCTTTGGGAGGCCGAGGCAGGCAGATCAGAAGGTCAGGAGTTCAAGACTAGCCTGACCAACATAGTGAAACCCAGACTCTACTAAAAATACAAAAACTAGCCAGGCCTGGTGTTCAGCCTGGAGTTTGAGCGAAACTCCGTCTCAAAAAAAAAAAGAGATATTTGAGGCAATTTATTCCTTAACTCTGTATACAAGTGCACTCTATTAGCAAATGATCTTGGTTGTAATAAAGGAAAGATTAATTTGGCATTTTTAATTTTTAATTTGGGTGTTGGCCACATCAGGCACCTTCTAGGATATTGAAGAGAGAGCACAGGAGTTGGAGTTAGGAGATTTCAGTCAAATTTGGGGTTAACCATTTACATTCCGACTTTGGGCTTAAAAAAAAACGGCAAACACATCTTTCGTTTTCTCCCCTAAAGTTGCCCTTTTCCCAGATGCTTGAATCTAAAATCTAGAATTTAGGGGCACTAGTGATTTATTTTTCCTCACTCTCTGTACTTCACACCTGTAACAATCCATTAACAAGGCATTTTGACACAACCATATCTTGGATTTCCTTTTTTTTCCATTGTTTATCTTTTATATTGCAACCATCTTAAAATGTAAGCTAGATGAATGACTCACCCAAGCACGCCCTCTGAGGATTTCTCAACAGAGTAAAATCCTCACCCCTTTTGTTGATCTACTAGATGCTATTTGATTTGGTCCATTTCTTCTCCTCCTGCCTTTATTTCAGACCCTCAGCTCTTTGTGATCACATTGCCTCAACCTTCTTACTGGTCTTTCTGTCCTGAATTTGCTGAGTTTGTGTTCTCTGCCTAGTATGCTCTTCCCTCTGTGGATCTTTGCAGTGTTCCTCTCTTAGGCCCAAATGTTACCTCCATAAAGAGGGCCTAGGACCCACCTAAATAATCCCCCTGCCTACCTCTGCATGTAACTTGTAATTTTCCCTTCTCTGATGTGGTACTTGTCACTATTTGATGTTTTCTTGTTTTCTGTCTTCGCCTCTCTGAAAGCTTCAAGAGAGTAGGGAACTTAATGTCTTACTTAAAATGCCGTATTCCCAACATTAGAATAGTACTACCTGGCGTGTAAGGCACTTACTTCAAATTATTTGGAAAGTTTAGGGATTCCTGTATTTGAAAGATGGGATGAATATGTAGCTCGAAAGAGATTATCAGGATCAAATATGAGATTATTTAAAGTCACCTAGCACAGTTATTGGCAAATGGTTGGTATTCAGATGTTTAGTTTACTATGATTTGTTGCTGATATCTAGTCTCAATTTGGTTTTTGGAAGGCAGGGACCATTTATATTGATATATTTCCTATAGTAACTAGCATTGTGCTTTGTATATAGACTTTCAATTTTAAAAAATTAGCTGAACTATTCAGTCTTTGGTGCTGACTGATATGTTTATTGTATGTTACGTTTTGTGTGTCATTTGAGTTCTTGGTGTGGATGCCTGAATATATAGATTGTGAACAGAAATGTATATCCACTAGTCTAACAGCCTATGTTCTCTCTTCCCTCAGTTTTTTATATCTAGTGTTTAGTTTCTTTGAACTTCAAATACCATGACTTGGAGTAAAGAGATCTGGCAGTTGAGTCTTCTGGATATATATAGAAATTAAAATTAGCCTTTTGGAACTGTTTAGGGAAGCATTAGCTAAGATGAGCCTCGTACCATCTCTAGGAGTGAATCAGTAGTATTGACTTTGAGGGTCAAAATAAAGTTTTTATAACAGTACTCCAGTTTAGAAGATTGCCATTTTCTTTCTCTGTCCATTTGGGGTTTTGATATTTTAAAAACTGAACTTATATATCCTTGAAAAATCCTTATTTTTTTTACCCAACTTTACTTGGCTTTTTGACTTTGCTACCTTTATAGTATGTTTCCCTTAATAACTAGGTTTGGATTCCTCCTTCCTAGCCTGAACCTCAAATCTCTCCCCAGTTGTAGGACCATGGATATTTTAGGAGACACTATTCTTTTTTGTATTTTTAGTAGGGATGGGGCTTCCCATGTTGGCCAGGATGGTCTCGATCTCTTGACCTCATGATCTACCTGCCTGAGCCTCCCAGAGTGCTGGGATTACAGGCATGAGCCACTGTGACTGGCCCTGGGAGACACTCTTCATGATTCACCAGTTTAATCTTACCATTTCTTCTTTGTATTTCTAATCTCAATTACTTTTAAAATTGGATCTTGGTAAGAGTTACAGATTTCCGTTTAAAATTGTTCATGAATTATTTGGGGGCTAGCATATATAAATCTTGTTTTCTTTAGTTTCTGTTCCCCTGGTGGTTTTTTACTATCCTTTGCACGCAATTGATGATCACTGAATATTCACAAAACTCAACTTTTCAGTATTGGTAACTTGAATATTTTGTGCAAAGTTTATTTGCAGAGTAATGATAAATTATTTTAGGAAGAATATTGATTTTCATAGATAAGTTGTTTCATTCCTGACTTTTTATTTGAATGTACATGTATCAAAATGCTTTTAGGCACAGAATTTAAAGTTATTGTGATGGCTGTAATGTGGGGTTTAAAATCAGTTTCACATGAAACTAAATTGTGTGAAAGGAAGTACTGAAAGCAAATAGGTAGTAGAGCATTAAGCTCATATTTTAGATGTTATAAAGTAGAGCATTATCAAAATTAACTACAGATTGCTTGCGGGGGGGGGGGTGGGGGCGCACCCACGGAGTCTTGCTATATTGTCAAGACTACAGTACAGTGGCTGTTCACAGGTGTGATCACAGTGCTTTGCAGCCCCAAACTCCTGGGCTTAAGTGATCTCCTGCCTCAGCTTCCCAAGTAACTGGGACTACATGCATGTGTTACCTTGCCTAGCCATTAAGGTGGCGTTGTTTATCTACCTTGGAATTTTCTGATGGAACGGCAATATATCATACGTTTTTTTATAGCTCCGATAGCTAAAATTAAAATTCAAGTAGTTAAAAAGATGCTGTCAGTTTCATTATACACTACTGCATTGTGATTTACAAAAAGTTGAGTTTTAAGCTTTTATGATTAAAAGTTTTCTATTTCCTGAATTAATTTTTTCCTTCCCTGAAATTATAAGTGCCTTTATTAGTTTATTGTAGTGCCAATTATATGCATTGTAAATAATGGTTATTTAACATAAATAAAAGTAATATATATATTTTTGTCTTTCCTAGGAATTTGAATTTAGAGTTTAATTTTGAAGAGCATTCTCTCCAGGAAGCAGTTTTACAGTATCTCAGACACTTCGCTTGACTACTTCATCCTGCATAAATCCAAGGTAAGGAGCATTCATTTTTCTACTTTTCACTTTTGACTTTCTTGAGGAAATGTCACTGCTGAACTGATGATTCAGAAGAGTGATTAAAAATGTTGTGGCCCGAAGCTTTTTTGGTTTATTTTGGCGGCTTGTATGAAGTCAGTCAGATGTTGTTAGTTTTAGGAAAAAGATCCTTTTTCTCTCTCCTTCCAGATTGTGTACCTGCTTTTTCTATTTCTATAAACACATATACTAAAAGATTCAGGACATACGAAGTATTTAAAACAAGATAGAAAGACGCTGCTACTTAACCTGTTTTTCCTAATATAAACAAGAGGAGATTTCATAACTTGTTTCTCCCTACTGTAGGGTTTAGGTAATTCAAATTGATTGCTGCTTATGTTCTGGATGTATTAATTGAATTAAGTGTATCAACTCATTAAGTTCTCTACAAGTCTGTGAAGTAGGTACTTTTTTTTTCACTACAGTTGAACAGGATCAGAGAGCTTAAGGAATTTGAATTCATGTAGTTTAAATGCAGAGGCCATATTCTTCCTTTTCTTCTAACTGTATTTTTGCAATAGAGCAGAAGATAGCAATCCCATTTCTTTTGGGCTGCTAACTGTTTGATAGGTATGCTTTCTTTCCATTAGTTTTTGAAGTTTCAGGTGTAGCTATTAAAGCAAAACGCAAACCTTTAAAAATAAGCTTGCTGCTTTAAAAATCCAGGTTCTGGGGAATACATTCATTTGATAGTTACTTATTAAATACGTATTGTGCCATGCCACCAAATACATCCTGGTGAGAGGAAAAGCCTGCAGAATTCCTGCATTCCTTAACAAATTATCCAAATAGCCTCAAGAGCCAAGAACAGAGATTCTGGAGATAAAGCACAACACAGCATCTCTACCTCTTTGTAAACTTAGAGTGTTTCTTTTACCTAGTGATTAATATAGTGGAAAAGAATGCTGCCTTATTGCTGGACTGGATCTCCAAAATCATTTGCAGCTCTGGTTCTATAGTGTGATTATCTCAGAGTGGAATAAAATTCAATATCTTGAAGTAAATTCAATCACAATGAATATAAGTTACTTGTTTTCTTTAAAAATTTTGGCAGGGACAGAATTTTGAAATCAGATGGCAATAGAATGTCACAGTTCCCAATGGCCTTGATTCCTTACTTTACAGGCTATCAATGTGGTTTTTGCCAATTTTGTTATGTTGTCAAAACTACAGTTGCTAAACCAAATTTGTGTTCTCCCAGGTATTAGATCTCCTTATGTTAATGCTAAATTTACTTCATATGTGTTGTGGAATTCTAATTCTGCCTTTTTGAACCCTGAACTTGTGTTTTATTTCTGTCTTTACGTGTTTCTTGCTCACTTGGGGTTGAGAAGAAGAGTGAGAGAAGACAAAGGTGGTAGTGTTAGAGGATAGTTATGTTTTGAAATGAACATTTATGTCAAAACATGTTAAATTTGTTATTTATATTCTTTGATGAGGAACTATCCAAGTATTATCATTGCCTCTTCTGTAACGGAACTCATCTTAGTACCTCCAAATACGATTTTATTTTATACTGAACATAGTCTAGGTAGGTAAAATAAGTGCTTTCAAAAATATTTGGGAAATATTTTTGGGAATTGCAAAACATTATGGGAATTGCAAGCTGTTAGAAGTTTAGTAAGTTGATTTTTTTTGAAATGAATACTTTTTGAGTAATTGGAAGTCTGGAAATAGTTAATATGCAGCAAAAACAAGCTTGAGAGGCTAAGATACAGTCTCATTAATCATTAAAAAGTTGAAAATGTAACATTTGGGATATATGTGGAGTGATTTGCTGTGTATTTTTTGAATCTTGTGAAGAATAGATCGTATAAATTAATTCGTTCTGACAGTTACTGATTTCTGTACCCATTGAGGTCATTTATAGTATTGGATACCATGTAGTGTTTAGAAACTTTAAACTACTGGTGTCCAAGTTTTTTTTCTTGTAGTTCTAATATATCTTTCTTGAAGTGATCCTTCTAATTCTTTTATCTTTTATTCTTTGAAAATCTTTCTACCAGAAAACTTCAGGGTGACCTAGGCATTGTCACATAAGTCCACTTGTATTCTGGAGTCATGAGTACTGAGAGCAGAGCCATGGCTCCAGCTGTTCAGAAACGTAATGTCCTGTATTATACTAGGATATTATCTAGTACCACTTCAGACCATATTGTATATATGGAATGGTCAGTTCAGTCTCATTTTCAAGGCCATAAAGCACTGTGATGACAGCCTGGTATGTTTATTTTTTTGTTAGTATTGTCACTTTATTTTCTTTATGTCATTTGCCTTATCTGTAATACCCTTATTTAACTATCTTACAGAAGAGGTAGGCATTTGTATTGGGCGCGGAATAACATATAACATGCTGCAGTCTGATCTCACTGCTCTTCCTGGCTTCTGCAGAAAGCAGAAGGGCCTTTTTGGATTGAGGCACATAAGTGGGGCAGTCCATAAAAATCTTCAATTGTATCTTTCATGTATGGTACCTGTCATGCAGTTGAAAACAGTTTTAGTCAGGAATAATACACTTGTCTTCTGAATACTCATTTGAAAAGGATGGTGAATCATAGCTTTTGAGAAACCTGTAAAAATCAAATTTTACCTGAAAATAAGTAAATGTGGAATTTAAAAAATCATATTGTAATTTTAACTTTTTGCCCTTTCATTTCACTAGGAGAAAAGAAATGGGTCGCTCCAATTCTAGATCTCATTCTTCAAGGTCAAAGTCTAGATCACAGTCTAGTTCTCGATCAAGATCAAGATCGCATTCTAGAAAGAAGCGATACAGGTGATTTAATGTACTTTAAATTTTTTAAATGATTATATCAGTGATATTTGTTGAATGCCTGTCATAAACACAGTGCTAAACCCAAAAATGTGTTTTATTCTCAACCCTGTGAAGTGGGTCTATTGTTGTCCTTATCCTTAATCAATACATTGAGAATGTCCAAGTATCAAGCTCTGATAAATGGCAGTGCTTGAGTTGAAATCCAGTTAGTCTGACTCCAGGTCTCAAATTTTTCTGTACTAATATGGTAGGTTTCTTTGTATTTATCCACAATGTTAACAGTTGAATTGGATAATGCAAGAATTATTTGACAGTAAACAGTCTCTGCATATTGTTTTATAGTTTCTCATTTCTGACTTTGATTCTTTGAATTCTAACAAAAGAAATCTTTTTTGTTAAAAAATTAACAACTTGGCTCACACCTGTAATCCCAGCACTTTGAGAGGCCAAGGCAGGTGGATCACAAGGGCAAGAGATTGAGGCCAACATGGTGAAACCCCGTCTCTGCTAAAAAATACAAAAATTAGCTGGGCGTGGTGGTGGGCACCTTAGTCCCAGCTACTCGGGAGGCTGAGGGAGGAGAATCGCTTGAACCTGGGAGAGGAGGTTGCAGTGAACTGAGATCTCTCCACGGCACTCCAGCCTGGGTGACAGAGCAAAATTAATAACTCTGGTTATTTTTCTTTAAATAGTAATACATAGCAAAAATAACAGAAACCAGAAGTTGAAAATAGAAGTGACCGTGATCCCATTAAGAATTAATAGTAGTTGATGTTTTTTCTTCTTTTTCCCCCCAGGCCTAACTTTACATTATGTATGTATTTAATTAATAGTATCTCACTGATAAAGTTTGTTTAATCTTTTCCCCCATTTAAGTATATATTATGCCATGCCATTAAGTACTCTTTTACAATATTGGTTTAAGTGCTTGCCTAGATGTACTACAGTTTGCTAATATGTCCTAATGTGTGATATGTATATATGTGTGTATAAAATATATACGCATATACATACACAGAAAAACACATGCACGTGTGTGTGTGTTTTGTGCCTTCATTTCTAAGGTCTTTAATGTATTCTCAGTATTTACCTTAGTAGTGAGGCTTTTTGATTGGAAACCATAAACCTTTGTACAGATGAGGTTTTTAAAAAAGTCTAATTTACCTTTATAATTTATTTACATGTTATATTCAACCAGCGTATTTAGAATGGTAGGATGGAATACTTTATTTTTCTTGCATTGATATTTATTTCATTTTTAGTTCTAGGTCTCGTTCCAGAACATATTCAAGGTCTCGTAGTAGAGATCGTATGTATTCTAGAGATTATCGTCGCGATTACAGAAATAATAGAGGAATGAGACGACCTTATGGGTACAGAGGAAGGGGTAGAGGGTATTATCAAGGAGGAGGAGGTAGATATCATCGAGGTGGTTATAGACCTGTCTGGAATAGAAGGCACTCTAGGAGTCCTAGACGAGGTCGTTCACGTTCCAGGAGTCCAAAAAGAAGATCCGTTTCTTCTCAAAGATCCAGAAGCAGATCTCGCCGGTCATATAGATCTTCTAGGTCTCCAAGATCATCCTCTTCTCGTTCTTCATCCCCATATAGCAAATCTCCTGTTTCTAAAAGACGAGGGTCTCAGGAAAAACAAACCAAAAAAGCTGAAGGGGAACCCCAAGAAGAGAGTCCGTTGAAAAGTAAATCACAGGAGGAACCAAAAGATACATTTGAGCATGACCCATCTGAGTCTATTGATGAATTTAATAAGTCATCAGCCACATCCGGTGATATTTGGCCTGGCCTTTCAGCTTATGATAATAGTCCCAGATCACCCCATAGTCCTTCACCTATTGCTACACCACCTAGTCAGAGTTCGTCTTGCTCTGATGCTCCCATGCTTAGTACAGTTCACTCTGCAAAAAATACTCCTTCTCAGCATTCACATTCCATTCAGCATAGTCCTGAAAGGTCTGGGTCTGGTTCTGTTGGAAATGGATCTAGTAGATATAGTCCTTCTCAGAATAGTCCAATTCATCACATCCCTTCACGAAGAAGTCCTGCAAAGACAATCGCACCACAGAATGCTCCAAGAGATGAGTCTAGGGGCCGTTCCTCATTTTATCCTGATGGTGGAGATCAGGAAACTGCAAAGACTGGGAAGTTCTTAAAAAGGTAAAAACTAAAGTAAAATGTGCTAGATTATAATATAGTTTTTGTTCTTTGAATTCTAATTGGAATTGAAAGATACAAAATTGTTGATATGTGTTTAATTAGTGGGTTTTACTCTTGCCTGCCTTCATTTTTAAGATAATTCCAGATTGTTTTTACTCTTATCTGGTGAACTTTGAAAGCTAAGTGTTTTAATAAAAATTAATTTATCCAGCTACTCAGGAGGCTGAGGCGGGAGGATCTTTTGAGCCCAGGAGTTCGAGGCTGTGGTGAGCTATGATTGCACCTACTGCACTCCAGCCTGGGCGACAGAGCAAGACCCTGTCTCGTTAAAAAAGAACAACAACACTAATTTCTATTCCTCCTCAATTTTAGCAATTTCGGTCGGTCCAGACTTAAAAGTACAGATGAGGAGAAGTTGAGTAGCTTAGAGCATAATTAATGATATATGTTATTAATAACTGTAAACCTTTTAGAAATTAATTTTGTTAGAGCATTGAATACTTATTTTGTTCTTTTCATTATAAGAATGTGACCTACATACATAATGCAGTTATATTGCATGTTCTTATGTGGCATAGTCTGGCTGTCAACATTTAATGATTTCTGCCTGACTGTACAAAAGATAATGATGTTTCTCACTAATGACATTTGAAACATACTTTGTTTAAATTTTGATTTCAAGTGTTGCTGAAAGTGTCTAATGATGAAAATTGGTTGCTTCATGTATTGTGATTTGACTTAAAAGTGAGAAAATAGAGGAAACATGCTGTTTATGGGATAGCACTGCACAACCTAGAATTTATGATTAAACTCATCGTTAGTTTCTGCGTAATAGTGCCAGAAACCATTATTTTCTAGAGCAAGTATATATGAACTGTTTTGTGATTTTCATAAAGAGTGTATTAAATTACTTCAATGGCATTTATTTAATTCTTTGTGTGAACTCTTGTTTATATTAATAGATAAGTGAAATAGTCTGAAATTTGGGTGATAATTATCAGAATTCCAACGTAATGTGTATTATCAGTGGTTCTTAGCTTCAAAATTAATTCTTAGTTAAATTTAAGTTAATTAAATTTAGGCTATCTCTAGAAGTTCATATTAGTGCAGAATTGTGGATTGTGACTAAATAGGACAGGTTTTTGAGGTTGGCTATACTTTTTAAACTTAAATAGTAAATTTATTTTAAAAGTCAGTACATAAGTTCTATATGGATGTTTTCAATGGTTTTTAAAAGCGGAATCTGAAAAAGCACTTTCAATAGGGTTATTTTCTCTCTTGCTGGTCCTGAGGGATTGGGCAACACATTTAAATGTGGAAGCGATCTACAATGAATGCAATCCAGAGTTACTATCCTCTTCTTTGCTTATTCACAGGTTCACAGATGAAGAGTCTAGAGTATTCCTGCTTGATAGGGGTAATACCAGGGATAAAGAGGCTTCAAAAGAGAAAGGATCAGAGAAAGGGAGGGCAGAGGGAGAATGGGAAGATCAGGAAGCTCTAGATTACTTCAGTGATAAAGAGTCTGGAAAACAAAAGTTTAATGATTCGGAAGGGGATGACACAGAGGAGACAGAGGATTATAGACAGTTCAGGAAGTCAGTCCTCGCAGATCAGGGTAAAAGTTTTGCTACTGCATCTCACCGGAATACTGAGGAGGAAGGACTCAAGTACAAGTCCAAAGTTTCACTTAAAGGCAATAGAGAAAGTGATGGATTTAGAGAAGAAAAAAATTATAAACTTAAAGAGACTGGATATGTAGTGGAAAGGCCTAGCACTACAAAAGATAAGCACAAAGAAGACGACAAAAATTCTGAAAGAATAACAGTAAAGAAAGAAACTCAGTCACCTGAGCAGGTAAAGTCTGAAAAGCTCAAAGACCTCTTTGATTACAGTCCCCCTCTACACAAGAATCTGGATGCTCGAGAAAAGTCTACCTTCAGAGAGGAAAGCCCACTTAGGATCAAAATGATAGCGAGTGATTCTCATCGTCCTGAAGTCAAACTCAAAATGGCACCTGTTCCTCTTGATGATTCTAACAGGTAATTCCATATTGATGCCCGGTAAATACTCTGGGTAGTTAATATTCCAGTTAATTATCTTATTTTTTGAACATACCATTTTTATATTTAAACCAATGGCATATTTTGTGTATGTGTGTTATCAATATGTTCCAGACCTGCTTCCTTGACTAAAGACAGGCTGCTTGCTAGTACACTTGTCCATTCTGTCAAGAAGGAGCAAGAATTCCGAACCATCTTTGACCACATTAAGTTGCCACAGGCCAGCAAAAGCACTTCAGAGTCATTTATTCAACACATTGTGTCCTTGGTTCATCATGTTAAAGGTACGCTTAGTATGTTTAGTATTATGAATTAAATTTCTCTTGCATGCAGATTAAGAAATGAATAATTAATTATGCTTAATAATTCTTATACCCCAGGGCTAGCAGATATACATCAATACTGTTAAAACTTGGAAAAGTAGTTTCATAGAAGAGTCCCTAGTCTTGCTGTCATTGAAACTCATGAAGATAGTTAATAAAAACTGATGGAAATGCTGGAGAAATTATATTCTAAAAATCTGTATCATGATAGAACATGATGTAGATCTGTTGAATTCTGAAAGTGTTTAAGTGTGTCATTATAGTATATTTGAAGTGCAGAAGGCTTACAGATAATATTTCCTTGCATGCCTATGACATCATAATAAATCTTGGCATAGATTTATAACACAGTATTGTTGAATATTAGTATTTCAACTTTTAAAGAAATCAAACTGGAAAAACACTTTTGTGATTAATTTTTTATAAATAAAAATCTTAAAATGATAAAACAAAATTTATTAGGATTTTTAAAGGAAAAAGTTCAAGCAATTTAGGAGTATAAATACTGATTATATGAATAGTGACTAATTAGGATCATGATGACACTTCTTTAGGTCCTAAAGATAAGGTGGTTTATTTCTACTAAAGTAATGGTGTTTTTATTTTTACCAGTATATAATTATAATTTCAAAGTTACTAATAATTTTCAGAGGTTTGTAGGTATGTCTTTTGGGCAATTATGTTAAGTTTTGTTTTTGTGTTTAAAAAGCAACTTATGAGACAGGTTCTTTTCCAGGAATCTCAAAGGCTGTTGACTTTAAAAATTACTCCCCTCTCTGCTTTTAAAAAATTTGTCTTTTGACATGAGAACGGCTCATTGTAATAGATGAAACATGCTTCTAGCAGTTCTTTATGCAGCTGATACAGCAGAACAGTGAATATGAAATGAATTTGTTTTTGGCTATAATTATTTAAACATGATAATGAGATAGTTCTGCTATTTGGCCCTAAGTAGGTTTGTGAACCAGTTGATGACCATATTACTGGTACATAAAATAGGAACCATTAACTTTTCAAAAAAAAATTTTTTTTTTTTACCTTTTTTGGACTATCTCCACATTTTACAATTGCTGAATTTTGAGATCAGGTTTTGATAAATTTTTTTCCTTTTTCTTTTTCCTTTTTTTTTTTAAAGGAACTGTAGTTATGTTTCATAATTGGTATTGTGCAACCGATCTGAACAGCTCTTACTTTATATAGAGCTGAAAATGCCCAGTGATGTTTTCTTTTTCATTGTAACTAGGTCCTGGAATATGTTTTGAAATGGCAAAATCCATGTTTCAAAGTAAAATAGCTGTTGAAAGATACAGGCAAAGTTGAATCTTCTGTCTTCCTGGCAAAAATGGCATAAAAACTGAGTTGCTAGCTCAAATTCCGGGGTTTCATGGAATTATGATTGAGGCTCTACCCTTGTAGTTGCCGTTTCAAGTTTTAATGATTGGTTATGAGACATGTGCTGGATATTGGGCGGTAAGTTGACACAGATGTATGTTGACCTGTTAAGCAGATAGCTTGCTTCATATTGTGACATTTCATAGCTCATGACTTTATGCGTCTTTCTATTTTACATTTACAACATAATCTTGAACTGGTTTTAAAAATAGTATTGCTATTACTAGTTTGAAAATTGTTTAGAGAGAGACAAAACAGCAATATCAAATGTGCTGTCGAGTTTGCCAAGATGCCAGATTTTTGGAGTAATTATTGAATGTTAATTGATTTTAAGATATTTTTCCAATTTGAATGATAGTATTGAGTTTTTTTGTAAATCCATTTTTGTTGATTTGGTAGCATAGTCACTGATGAAATTTGTTTACTCAAACTAGCTTTTTAGTTAACTCCATATTTTCCTGTTAATTTTTGTTTTCTGCAAATGATTACCTGAAGTAACATCATTGGTTCATATTGGGAAGGTATTAGAACATTCATATATGTTTCTTTTTGTTCTGAGGAAGTAGTATACTAATGAAGTGGAATTAGAGACTCTTGATTTAATCTATTAATTGCTTTTGGATTAGATGTATTGACAGGGACCTGTGAGTAACTTTGGAAGCACTTTTCTGTTGAGGTGCAAGAAATTAAAAGAGAAAGGGTAGGAATTCCTTGTAACACTTGATTCTCTTTTGCTAGGTTTCTTAAGTATTTTTATTTTCTTTTCACCTGCTACATGCCCTTCTGTCACAAACAAATCTCTTAAGGTAAAGTTAACTAATTGGACAGTATTTCTCCTAAATCAACAGAGCAATACTTCAAATCAGCTGCAATGACCCTTAACGAGCGGTTCACTTCGTATCAGAAAGCCACTGAAGAACATAGTACTCGTCAAAAGAGCCCTGAGATACACAGGTATGTACCCTGCTGAATTGGCATATAAAAATGTTGTTTTGATAGGAAGACACTATTATTAAAACAAGATTATATTGGTAGTTTGCTATTTGTGATTGATACAAATATAAATTTTGGTTGTATTCCTCATTTATACTTTGAATAAATATATTTCTAAGTCTTAAAATTTTGCAATTCTCATTTTCTGCTTAGTTGAAACTGGTTGTTAGAACTTGAAATATTAATTCTGCAGTATGGAAATGTTATCAGTTTGTTTGGGTTTTGGGAGGGGGGTGGAGGCCTAGAGAGTAACCTAGAGTAACCTTTGAATTTCTAGTAAGTTTGTGAAATAAAAAATGTTCAGTGAGAGGTAGAACTGTTTTTAATGAAAAAAGCATGAGCAATGAAGTCAGATAGTTGTATTGAAATCCTCTCTATCTCTTCATTGCATTGTAATAAACAGGTTACTTAATTCCTGGAAATCAATTTTTTCATATGCAAAATATGGATAATCATGCCCATTTTGCAGGGTGGCGGTGACAGTTAGTTATACTGGCTATGAAGTATCTAACTTGGTACTTTGTACACAGTTGGTGTGATTTTGGTGATGACTGCTAAAGAAGCACTGGATAGTTTCGATCGATACTAACTTAAAAAGGAAAGGTGCAGAATAAAACCAAAGGTGCACTGAATATGTAAAAATATTGAAGACAGGAGCAAATCCTATTCATATGTGTTTGTTGATGCTTAACATGATACCTAGTTTAATCAGAACACATTTTTTCTATTTTTGATGGCTAAAATAAGTTTGATGTTTTAAAGGCCAGACTTCAATATAAAAATAATCTGATTGGAGCATTAAAATTCATTCTTAATTGTGTATTAGGAATTAGGTGAATAGTCTTGATATGTTAAATAAATTGATTGGGAGAGACATAGATGTCTTTTACTAAAATGGATAATGATGTGGATGTTTCTGAACCGAAAAGTTAATAATATGACTAAAGATACACTTTATTTTACATTAAGGAGAATTGACATCTCGCCAAGTACCCTGAGGAAGCATACCCGTTTAGCAGGGGAAGAGAGAGTTTTTAAAGAAGAAAATCAAAAGGTATGTTTTTTGAATGTAATTGTTTTCATGTTAAGTTCAGCTTAATGGTATTGTACCAAATACAATTTCTCAAGGCAAAAGTGTTGTACTTTTAATTCATAACTACATCGTGGTAGTGTACATACTCTTCTTTCCTAGAAGAAATTAAGCTGACACTATACTAAATATCTTACATTTAAACCAGGGGTGTTTTTTCAAATGCTAATGAAAGGAAAAAAAATAATAGCACTAAGAAAAGCGTAAAGAATCAGTTGGTAGACAAAGGGAAATTATAAAATAAATACACAAATTAGAATTTTGAGATGAGCTTGATGAGCCAGAGTAAATATATCTTGATTTGTGTGTCTAAATATCTCTAGGTTCTTCATAGATAACCAGAAGTAATCCCCATGCTACTGGGTATATTTGATGTGGATTAAGAAATAAACATTCTGAGAACTGATTTACAAATGAGCGTTTGGAACAAAGACTGTTGTCACTCTTGGAATATTTGGGGATTGGGAGTTGGGGGAATGTCTTTAAAACATGAGAAAGGAGTCTGTGAAAGACATGGATGGGTTTTGCTGAGAATGGTTGAGGGGACTCCAATATACTCCTCACAATTCAAAATGACCTTTGCCACATAGACTAGTCTATATCTGGCCATAAAATGTCTAGTAGTAGAAATGTGGGGAAAGGTAGTAAGGGAGCAACTGTTTTGAAGAGATTAGGGGACTTGGAAGTACTATTTGGTTCCAATTCTGCCCGTCACTAAGTACCATCTACATGATATTTGGAAAATAACCTCTTGAACCTTGCTTTTCTAATTAGAAAAATGAGAATGCATGTGTTTTGCAGAGTTGTTGAATAATTGGGTTATTTTGAAAACATAGGCACATTTGTTACTAGAAGCTGTCAGGTACAGTGGTAGTATACAAGTTGTCTAATAGGGCATGATATTAAATTAATAGATGTGGAGTCTAGAGCTTACAAAGGTGTTTTTCTGTTTTTTGTTTTTTTACCCCGTGGGGCATGTTGATTTTGAAATAACAGATTCTGAGAAGTGAATACTTTTTTCGGTTTTTAACTTAATACCTTGAGATCAAAGTTGTTTATTTAGTTTTCCCAACAATTTAGTCTATCCTCGAGCTCTGACAGTGAGTACCTTCTCCTCGTTACTTAGACCAGATTTGATACAGAGGAGAAAAAGTAGAGACAACTGATGAATGGACAAGAGGATATGACATTGGTTTTTACCCTTCATTGTCCTGTCTGGATGAATAACATGTTAATATGTAATTATGTATATATAGTTTGTAATTTACAAAGTCGTTCCACTTACATTATCTTGTTACTTGTGGACTTGGTAATACTTAGGTAAATAGGAAGTTTTTTTTTGCTCTTGATTAGATTTTTTTCTTTCTGACTCTGGGAGCAAATAGGTGAGTAGTTGATATCATTTGGAGATACGTACTTTCAGTTTTATGAATGCTTATGATTATAGCCAGACTTCCCAGAGTAAATACTACTTAATGTTGAATACTAGCAAGGATGTCCACATTGCTTAGCATCTTACTGATGTATAATTTCTCTTCATTCCTAGATGCCTCTTTCCATCTTCCTAAATTATATAGTATTTGAAAAAGCAATGGAACAAGAAGGAGGTGAATTGTGACGCAGTTAAACTAATGTCCGTTGCAATACCTGAATTGAGAAAGGGCAGTATATGGCCCAAGATACTGAGTACAGGATTGCGAATATCTTTCTGGCTTTGTTTCTACCCTTGTTAAATTTCAATTGGTTTCATTAATCATATTCCATGTGCATGTTATGGAAATTATAGAATTCTTTTTAAGTGTTTTTTTTTTATTGGGTTGGTCAGATTATTTGGGAAGAGCTTGATCATAATGAGGCTTAAGTAATGAGAACCATTATGTTAGGATCTCTTTAACTTTTTAGGTAGAAGGCTACATCACAACTACAGATTATAACCTGTCATTGTTTAGCTATTGAAAATACATTTGGAAGGATGAGGGATAATACTTAATGAGGGTGTGCTGAGTGGAAAAAATATTTGTATCATTTACTGTACAAAAATTTATTATAGATTGTTTTGGATAACCTGTAAAATTCTCAATATATAATTAGCTTTTAATAATTTTCCCAGTCCCACTGTACTTTGTGTACACAAATGTTAGTAAAAATAATCAAGTACATTTTTAAACAAAAACTATATGATAGTATCTTATGTGATCCATTCTTTTCTAATACTAAAATGCCAATTTAGAAACTGGCATAAACTTAACTCTATAATATGTGTATATGTATTTTTTCTTTTTGTCCCCTGAAATCTGTATTTTATATCTGTCTTTTATAGGGAGATAAAAAATTAAGGTGTGACTCTGCTGATCTTCGGCATGACATTGATCGCCGTAGAAAAGAAAGAAGTAAAGAACGGGGAGATTCCAAGGGCTCCAGAGAATCCAGTGGATCAAGAAAGCAGGAAAAAACTCCAAAAGATTACAAAGAATACAAATCTTACAAAGATGACAGGTAATTGTTCAAACTGACTAAGATAGGTTTTAGCTTCTAATTAGCCTTTAATAATTGTCAGCTTAATTGCTTTCAATTTTGACTGTGTAATCGAATGTTTAAATTTAAACAATTAAAATTATTTGTTTTACAGCAAAAATGTATTTGTCTTTTACACGGCTTATGGTGGATGAGGACAAAAACTTTGGAATAGCAAGCTAACACTGAAAAAAAAAATGACAAATTAATGTGTCCTATTATCCAGGCTACATCAGGAGGTTGGACTTCAATGCAGTGCATTTCTAGAAACAGTTTGTGTAAGAACTTTGGTTCGTTATGCTTGATTCCGCACTTTTTCAACTCATAACACCCAGAGTACAAGAATTTTTAAACTGATATCTAGTGGTTTAACATGGGCGAGATGGGGGGGAGGAAGGACTAGAAATAGCAATGTGTATTAGTCTTTCAAAATAGTATTTCCATGGAAACTGTTAGCAGTGGTAAGAGTTAACCACAGGTATGACCTTTTTGGATGTTGCATTAAATCTTGTAAATTTGATCATCATAGAGTCAAGTAAATAGGAACACAAAGTATTATAGATAATCTTTTTCCTTGCTATTCATTAGGTAAATGGTGGATTTTGTGTTATTATACTTACGACTGTTATTTGTAATGTCCTATGCTTGTAATTTGCTATAATGGTACTATAGCCCAAATCATACCAACTATTTTCACCCAGGGTGTACAAACTGCAGTCATTTTGAAACTTGGCCTTAAGAACATTCTTACTTTTTCCTATTCTTCTCTTCCTTTTGTTAAAGTAATAAAAGATGCAAGTTCATTTAAAAATATTAAAGAACTGAACCTTATTCTTGACCTTTACAGACTACTATTTTCTAACTGGCAGGCCCTAGCATGATTTCATTATTGATGTAAAACACATGCTGAAGGAGAATGGAAACAGACTGTGTCAAAGTTTAACACCCAGTTATTTTATTTACATAATAATTTCATGAGGGGATAGTGGTTTTGACTTGAAAAATATCTCTTCTGTTGTAAGATTCAACAGGGTCTTTATCTTTTTAAAAGTAGCACATTTTTTGTTGTTTTCTTTATTTTGCAGTAAACACAAAAGTAGAGAGCAAGATCATTCTCGATCTTCATCCTCTTCAGCATCCCCTTCTTCACCCAGTTCTCGAGAAGAAAAGGAAAGTAAGAAGGAAAGAGAAGAAGAATTTAAAACTCATCATGAAATGAAAGAATACTCAGGCTTTGCAGGAGTTAGCCGACCACGAGGAACCTTTGTAAGTGAATAAATTATATTTGATAGTTTGCTAGTTTATTTTAGAGTACCATATATAAGGAAGGTCATATATATGATTTAGAGATTATCTGTTATGTGTGTCATTATTTCTAAAGTCAGAGGTACTATTGAAACATGAAGTGGTATATGAAGTGCTGTCTTCATTTAGAAATGCCATTTTGAGATCTAGAAGCATCTGTATAAACTAGGTACTCTTCTTGACTTCAAGATCAATAACTGTACCTAGTATTTAAAGACCCAAGAATCAAGGAAAGTTAATGATTGAGATAACATTTCTTTAATCACTTAGTAAAGGTACTTTAAAACTTTAATAAAACCCCCCTGTATGTTCATCTCTGTATTAGAGTTATATTCATTTTGCCTGCTTTCTTCAAATCTTTGCTTATATGGGTATAAATCATAGAAATATTCCACATAGCATATATATTATCCCCATGTTTCCATAAGTCGTTATAATTATTAATATAATGACTTTATGGTAGTGCATCTTCTTACCTCTTTAATTTCTAGATTCACACTTCTACCTTGAGCAAGTATCTAGTTGGCTATTAGTAGAGTTCATTAATTAGATAATTTGGGAAGGAGAAGAGCTTTGCTTATATGATGATAGGTATGGCTGAATACTTGGGGCTTCTATGATAATTCAAAGAAATTCGACAGCTTTTGGTTAGTAAAAAGGAAAACCAACCTGATTATTTAAAAATATTAGTTCAGGCCATGAAAGTACAGTATTCTAACCCTTAGGTTGATCATTTCTTCTTAACCTACTCAACTTTTAGTTGGCAGAATTTTTTGCCTATGATATAAAATGGCCATCCTTTTCATCCTCAATGGCTGTGAGATTCAGATAGGAAATGAGGGCATATGGTTTTTGTTACTGCAGTAAAATTAGAGTTTGCATGTAACTAAATACCTTTTGATTGCATCACTAAACAACTTTGTTAATGTTAATCAGTTTCGAATTAGAGGCAGAGGAAGAGCCAGAGGAGTTTTTGCTGGGACAAATACTGGTCCAAACAACTCAAATACTACTTTTCAAAAGAGACCGAAGGAAGAGGAATGGGATCCAGAATATACCCCAAAGAGCAAGAAGTACTTCTTGGTGGGTGTTAGACATCTGTGTTTATTTGGTTTGCATTAATTTTCAAAGCATACTAGGTGAATACATTTGAGTACAGATATCCACTATAAGAAGATTCACCATTATGTGGGAAACCTTTTTTGAAATAATTACCCAGATGATTTGAAGTTTTGAAAATGTGGGTCCCTTTAGTCCTGTTCATACTTTCTTGATATTAAACATAGGCTGATCAGGGTAAACTAAAAATATACCTGATTTGTTAGCCACATTCAGAGAACATTATATTATAGTTGAGCTTAATGTTGGTTTTATATCTGTCTATAAGACAATGACAGTTGTAAAAGGTCTATCTTTTATGATAGCTATTTGTTTAAATTAAAGGGAGAAGAATTTTTTCAAAGCACTTGTAATTAAGAATTGCAGGGAGGCTGTCAACTATTGGAGAAAAAAGTTGATGAAAAATTACCTTGTGGAGAAATTGCTGCTAGGTAAACTTATTTGTGCTTCCTGTGGCAGAGATGCTTTTCCCTCTGAAATAGTTTTTCAAGAATGAAGCTAGAGATGGTAGCTGAAGGATTCTCTAAAGATAGCCATTTTTGGCTCTTTGGCATGGGGAAAAGGGTCCCTCCTGCCTTATAGAGGTGGACAAGAACATACCAAAACTATTTTCAGAAATACTCATTTTTTTGTCATGGCTTTTCAGAGAATTGGTGTTTCAGAGACTGGTTCTGAAAATTAGTTGCTTTCATGGAGGAAAATTTTACTGGACTCGAAGAACTGTTGACTTTTTTAGTTGACTTTTTATAAATATATTTGAATAAGCCTGTGAATGTCCATGACATACCTACTTAGAGGTTATAGCTGTGTTTTGAAGTGGATCTCTATTTTGTCTGGGAAAACAGTATATTTGTTTCAAAAATACATTTCCATTTGCCTCTTTTTTTGGCATGTTAATGACCAAGAACAAAAAAAAAATGTTTACAGTGCATTATGCATAATGTTTTCTCAGTTTATGCTTCTTGAGTGGCTTGAATTGACATTCTGGAAAGTAAAAGGCATTTGATTGAGGTATGGAAAAATTTGAAAGATTCATCTACTTTGTGGTTTAAGAATTTATGTATTAACAGACTTAGTTTATGCTAGGTACTAAGGATGGAAAGACAAGTAGGATGTGATTCCAGTTTTTGACTTAAGAGACTAGTAGTAGAGAAACAAACGTTCTAAATATATATGGTGGCTTTTCCCACAGAAGGAATAGGTGGATTTTTGCAAAGGGGAGGGAGCGATTAGGAGAGATTTTTGTAGAGGAACTTCACTTTAATGTTGAGGTTAAGAGGTAGGCAAATGTACTGCACATAGCAGAAGGAGTGAAACAGCATGATATAGAGAACTCTAGTACTCGGATAGCTAGATGGTTGGTATAAGTTTGGGAAAATTGAGTACAAGGAGCCACAGTGTGAAAGGTCTTAGTGCTTTATTAAGAAAATAGAGTTTTAAGCAGAGTTTACAAAAAGCATGATTATTAAAAGTTAAATTGTTTGAGAAATATTGAGTCCCTAAACTAAGGGGCTAGAGTTGAGAAAAGGTGAAATAACATTTATAGGGACTTGATTTCAGGGATGTTGGTAGTGACAGGAAAGAATCTAAAGGAATCTATAGGAAAGAAGCTCCTTTCAGAAGATTGGGTTGTTCTGAACAGGTCGGATTTGAAGTGCCTGGGAGAAATGGAACTGTCCAGTGGATAGTTGCTAATTCAAATTTAAAGAAACAGATATCTAAGTGCTATCATTTTATATGTCACCATTAAAGCTGTGATAAGATCACAGAAGAGCTAAAAAGACCAACATTTAAAAAGTGGGGTGAAAAGTGAGAGAGAGTAACACTGTCAAAGAAGTAGACCAAGTATGATAGGTCAAAGAGTTAGGAGGGAATGAGAGGTGAACAAGTAGATAGTGATTGTTTACCACTTTTAACAATTTAATAATACAAAGTTTAGGCCACTTTTCTATGGCATTCTGAGTCTGCTATCCCTTAACTAGTACAACTCATTTTGGGTTGGCTTTTAATTAGGCAGTAGTTTATTAAGAAGAGTGTCTTATTTTAAGAATTTAGCCATTTGTAAGTAGGAGTAATATTTTTAAATATTGTTTTTCTGGGTTATATTTAAAAATCTTGGTCTCTTTATAAAGCCTACAAATTGATTTGCCACAGACTGATGATGTTCCCTAGAATATCAAGTAAAATTAACACACTTTTCCCCTTATAAATCAATTCACAAAGCAAATTATTTTGGTCTACATATGAGCCATTAAAATGGCAACTTTGGTTTTCACATGGATAGTTGAATTTAAAAGATTTTGTATCTTATATGTAAAGGAAACTTTCAGACAATGTTGAGGGAAAAGAAAGAAAAATACAATTGAGAAGAAAAGAAGTCTAAAACTAGACATTCATTCCCTTAGGTTCTTTCAGAACAATTGACCAATGTAAGAGTTTGCTCATATGGATGAAACATTAATACTTAGTAATAATAAATAACATTTATTTGGCATTAGGTACTATGCTAGGTGCTGTTCTGAGTGTACTGTATGTATTAATACTTACAAAAAGCCTTTTGAGTTGGGGCTGTTACTCCATTTTTATGGATGGAAAAAACTGAGGTGCAAAGGTTGAGTAGCTTAACCAGAGTTACGTGACTAGTAGCAATGGGGTCAGGACTTAAATTCATGCATTGGGCTCCAGAGTCAGGGTTCTGAAAGGCTTGTATATTTGTTGTTTAATACTGAGTTGTAGTAATCTTTGTTTTATTCTTTTCTGAAATTTCCTATCTCTAAGCTTTGTTTTATGCAAAGGTTTGGTAATGTTTTCAATAATAAAAATTCCAGGAAAGATAGTAGTTTTAGTTAGAACCCAAAATTCTATGGAGGCGGGGGGTGGGGGGTGTGGGGTGGTGAGTGTGAAGAGTTGTAGCAAGTGGGAAAGTACTGAAGTAGGCAGGTTCTCAGTGTTGAGTTGCTGTCTTCAAAGGAAGAGAAAATCCCTGGTTGGGAAGGAGGTTCAGGATTGAAGTTTTGGTAATTAACCCTTTGCAAAACTTGATGATCAGTGGAGAATAGATGATTCAGAAGGTCTTGGTTCTAATATAGACTCCTTTGTTAACGTGTTCCTACCTGTGTATAAATATCCCACTTCTGGCTATTTGTAATCTGAGATAATTAAAATTTAACAATTTTAATAATGAGATTGAAATCTTTGATATAAAAATTTGAGTATGAAGAGTATGTTTAGCATGAAAAATCTCAAGTAGCTGCCAGGAATACCCTATGAAAGACACAATTTGTTTAGCTGCTGTTGTCTTTACCAAGTTTCAGATAATTGTATATTAAAAGCAATGGCTAGTTTAACCCTAGCGTCTAGTTTTGCCATTGGCTTTTCTATTATCTGTTAACTCTTAGTTGCCTGGCGTGGTAATCATATACTGCCACCAAGGTATCTGGGAAATGGGTTTTATGGGTGATGGTCACAAGGGGTAGAAAAAAGGGCTAGCTTTGTGACCTTGGGCAAGTTACTTAATTTCTCTGTGCCTCAGTTTCTTTATTTCTATAATGGGAATAGTAACAGTATTTTAGAGGGTTGTTGTGAGGTTTAGATGAAAAAAATACATGTAAAGTGTTCAGAACAGTGCCAGACCTATATTAGGCACTATAAAAACATTTTTTGCCACCGTTTATTGAGTGCTTGCTTGTCAGACACTGGGCCAGGCACTTTGTACTGGTCTGTGTTTCCTCAAGGAACACATTATTGAAATAAGGAAGTAAATTCTAGAGAGGTTTCCCAGAGTTGTTACAGTTTCTGATAAGATTTAAACTCGTGCTTCTCCAAAACCTAGAATCCATGGAGTATTACATAAATATCATTTAAAAAAAACACTAACTATAATGTTGGGTATGTTAATGCAATAAGGAAGCATGAAATTACGTAGTTGAGTGGGAATTATTTTTAGTGGCAGACTGTTATAAAGTAGTTTGTTTTTGGTTTGTAATAAACGCTCTTGGCTTTAAATTTACACTTTTGATAGTTCCAAAATTAATTCATTACAGAGTCATGTACACCTCTATGTAGTAAGATTTCATTGGTTTGGTGAATATAGATTATTAGCAGTTGGTAAGTTCTCCTTCATATGGTCTGTTAGTTACCCATATAATTGAACTTTCCAAGCTCTGAAGGGGGTTAATCAGTTGAGTGTGTCCAAAGGCACAATCTATGTTTTGAAAAAAAATACTCCTATCACATACTATGTAAAAAAAAGTTTCAGCGGCTTTGGATGGTTGCTCGCTTACTAGTACTCCATAGATTATACAACATAGATTACATAGTATTATACCCCCTTTTCTCATAAAGGGTCATCATTGTGCTTTATTACCCATTTTTTGTGGGTGACAAAGCCAAAAAATTATTAGCAGTTAATTAAATTACTTATAGGACTCCTTTTTGACCTTTTGTATGCGTAATACCCATCTCCAACTCATCTACAAAATCGAGTACTTTTCCGCTTTGCAGATTGTTTTTGCTTAATAGAACAATTCACAATTTGGGGAACATCTGTATTTGAATACAATTAATGAATAATTAAAGCTGGAATGCGATAACACTTTAGATGAAGAAGAGCTGAGTGAGGTGTTAACTCTAGGGACGGTGTCATGATTTACCGCTGAAATTCTCTAGCCCAGAACATTGATATATACTATAAATTGATCTAGATTTAAATCTCAGAAGATTTAAAGTCTAGTTTTGTATGTAAAGTATAAAATAATAACACTGGTTTTATTTAGTGAATGTTGTTATAATGATATATTTGTGACTTTCTGCATTTTGATGACTAGGGTAATTTTGCTGGGAAAAGCTAGTTATCTTATCTCATTGCATATGGCCACATGCAATGAGATAAAATAAGAAGTGGACTTAAATTGACATAATAATAGAAAAAAAACAAAACTCAGAATTCCGAAAATGGTAATTTAGCAGTTGAGATTCTCCTAATGATTATCTGGGTGACCCTCAGTGCTTGGGTTGCTAAGTAGTAAGATGTAGGTATTCTCTTGACGATGGAATGTATTTTTGTTGAAAAATTCAGTTTTACTGGTTTTGTTTTATTGTGTTTTAGAATATTACCAGTCTCATACACCCAGTCTTCAGAAGATTAATACTATGATTTATGATTGGAGAAATGATCATCATCTTTACAAGAAACGCATTTCATTGACAGTTGTTTTTAACCTTTCTGTAGCATGACGACAGAGATGATGGTGTGGATTATTGGGCCAAAAGAGGAAGAGGTCGTGGTACTTTTCAACGTGGCAGAGGGCGCTTTAACTTCAAAAAATCAGGTAGCAGTCCTAAATGGACTCATGACAAATACCAAGGGGATGGGATTGTTGAAGATGAAGAAGAGACCATGGAAAATAATGAAGAAAAGAAGGACAGACGCAAGGAAGAAAAGGTACAAGACTTCAACTTGTGATTCTGACAGATTTTTTTGGTATAGGTTTGGTGGGTTAATTATTTCATTTTTAGGAACAGTTACTAATATGGTTCCTTTTTACTCTCCACATCTTCTGTTAATCTTTAATTTTTCTCTTTTAGGAATAATAAATATGAAGTAAGATTGCAACAGAGAGCAGAACTTGCACTCACCATTTTTTACCTGAAATTTTGTTTTCAAATAAGAATGTAAGCATTTTACTTAAATTTTACTGTTTGCAACTAGTCTATAGAAATTTTGTTTTAAGTCTTCAAATATCTTGAGAAATAGTAGACTGTATGTTGAAAATTGTATTGAATAAAGTAGAAAATTGTTACGTACCATATTTGTAACTATCAACTTAAAAAAAAAAATTTTAACGTTTTTGTTACATGCCTTGTAATTCTGCTTTGTCTATAAGATATGGTCAAGTACAGCTCTGTGAAAGTTCTGATTCTCTTCCTTCCCTGTTTGTTAATGTTTTATTCTGAAGTAAACGTTAGCTCTGCATATAAATCCTGGAACAGGAATTGTTTATAGAGACTACACTAATTATTTTAACTGTATACATCTGTTTAATTTGAACACACTACATTGTAGGGTGACTAATTTTTGAAGTACACCACAGACAAAAAGTTGATACTTTGGTAAACTAAGCTAGTTTAGAACTTAAGCAAATGCTTAAGGTATAAAAAAAGCTTTGCCAATAACTAAAATGTACAAGCTATTAAAAATTAGATTGAAAAGTTTGAGAAAATGTTATTTTTACTGAAAGTAAGCAGTGGCCTATAAACATTCTTAGGAGCCTTTTCTATTTGCGTTCAAAATTGAGTGTTCTTTTTCTAATTTGATAGTTTGAGTCATGGTCTTAGATATTAGCTATTTGTGAGAGGAAACTGGTTTGTAATAATGCTGCAAATAGAAACCCCATTCCTACTGAACATCTTAGTTTTAAACAGAGCAAAACCTGTAATCCTGGGGTTGGTATGGAGGAGGTTTATTCTGCATAATAAGTTGATACATTAGTACCTGATTTTATATCTTACATATTTATTTGAGCTGAACATTAGTTTGTAGTGCATCTATTAGTAAAAATAGAGAAACATAACATACTGTTCATTAATAGTATTTTAAGTAAATTGTTTTCCAATGTCACCAATAAAAGTTTTGGCAGGAAGCTTGTTGCCGCATTGATCTAACTTGGTTTTTTTTCCTCCCGTTTCAGTTGCAGTATGTAAAATGGCTTTTTCTTTTTCTTCTTAAGGGTTGTATTCTTCAGGTAGATAATTTTTCAAATGTGAATTTTATTTTGTGTCTATATGATAGCTCTTAAAGAAGTGAAAATCTGAAATAGTAAATTTCAATGTTAAGTCTGCTTTTTGGGCATATATAAAACTAGACACATTTGTTAATTTAGTTGTGTGTGTTAAAAGGAACTAATGCTTATTCTGTTAATGTAAACTTTTGAAGATCTTAAGTGTATTGCTCTTTCATCTTAAACACTTTTGAGAATTTGCAATGCATCTAGCAACCTGGATTTACAGCCAGGGACATTGGTTGAGAGCTGAGCTGTTGGAAACAAAACTAAAAGCAACCTCAACATATGTGATGTTTATGGCCCTCAGCTCCTTAGTATTGTGTGATTTCCCTCCATAACGTGTCTTTCTGAAATTGTCTATTAAAACAGAGGAAATACCTGCCAAAGCAAGTATGTATTGCATTAATCAGGACATAACTAATATTGTCCTGTTCAGAATAATATTTACGTGTGAAAGCAACATGATGTAATCCCCAACTCAGAATTTTCATGACCCTTCTGTATACAAATAAATAAGTAAGAGTTACTTGATTAGACATCAAATCTGTGTGCATGACTATCTGCTTATCTACTTAAGACAATGGGTAAAAGATCTGTGAAATTAATAGGGAGTGGGAATAAATCTACTTAATTCCTGTGGGCGGGTTATATTTTAAGTTCAAATGCATTACTTTAACCTTTGGTTACTTTCATTCTGTTAAGCAAAATTGAGGAAAGAGTATGATACCAGAATATAATACTAGGCTAGGGTGATTGTGAGAACTCTGTAATAGAATGTCATTGTGGTTGTTATCTTTTTCAGATCCAAGCATATAAAAAGTAGCCTGTATATTTTTTTAAGCCACAGTTTAACTCCACACTTTACGACATTATAAAAGTTGAACGTTCCTCTTGATAAGGATATTTGCTTACAAGTGCTAAGAAATAACTTTTTGATACTGCATTAACAGACTTTGTTTTGCCTAGAGAAGGCAGTAAAAATGAACCAAAGGATATTTCCAGAAAGGATTAAGAAAGCTGTTTAAGAAGGCCATGACTCTTTTAGTGTTTATGTGTACCTTTCAGCATCCTAGGAATTTTTATATTAAAAGCAAAATGTTTTTCCAATTACAGTCTACTTCAGGAATTACTATTGTTCCTTTTGTCACAGGTAAAATCAGTGTTGGGAATTACAATTTGAGAAAAATATTACCCAGTAAGATTGAATGTAGATGGCTAAATGATTCTTACTCAGTGTGATGTATAATGCAACAGGGACCCTTGTAAATTGTCATATGCCAATAAAATGTCACAAGTAATAACGGCTGTTGTTTTTTTTACCTGTGTCTATTCTATACCACTTAGTTCTATGGCCTATTTCTAGATTTTAGAATATCAGCACATCTGTTAGGGAGATTACTGGTGTGGTAAGGCTTGATAAATGCCTTATAAAATTTCTCAAACCCCGTTACTGATTTTTTTCCTCTTGTTTCCCCTGGGAAAATGGGAAATTTTACAGTTGGTAAATCTAACTAAGCCATTATTTTGAAATAGAGGAATTCTAGATTTTTAGTTTAATCCTCTTTTAATCTGGGACCTTATCACCCATAGTAATATGGTGATTACTTCTTTCTCTAAAAACATAGTAGCTAGTGAATAACTAAAAAGAATTGTCCTTTTACTCACTTTGTGTAAGATCTGATATAATTATTACCATGTGCCATCCTGTCAACTTTAACAAAACATTTTCAGGGAAATTTGTGTGCTGAGACAAACTGACACATTTTGACTCATAAAAATGGCAAATTATCCCTTAAAAATTTTGTGAGAGCCAGATGTGGTGGCTCGTGCTTGTAGTCCCAACACTTTGGGAGGTGGGTGGATCATGAGATGAAGAGATTGAGACCATCCTGGCTAACATGGTGAAACCCTATTTCTACTAAACAATGCAGAAGTTGGCTCGGTGTGGTGGCATGCGTCTGTAATCCCAGCTCCTCAGGAGGCTGAGGCAGGAGAAACACTTGAACCTGGGAAGCAGAGGTTGCAGTGAGCTGAGATCGCACCCCTTGCACTCCAGCCTGATGACAGAGCGAGACTTCGTTATAAAAAAATTTTTTTTGAGAGAAAACTGTGTGTATGTATATATGCATGTAAAGGGTTGTGTAAGATCATTGGTAGCTTGATTATACTGGATTGTTATATAAAAATTTCTTATAAAAAAGTATGCTACGTTATTAGGGACATTTAACTTATTTTTCTTTTTCTGGGTTTCCACTGGAATCCCTTTGGTGGGGATGTACCTTAAGTTTCCTTTTGGAATAATATACTTTTACATCCAGGAAGAGAAGTACAGAGGCCTTTCTCAGTTTACAAAGTTGCTGAAGAGGGAAGGCAAATGGAGAAATAAACTTCATTGACTTTGGGATTAATTTGGCTAGACTCAATCTCTTGAGTATACTTAAAAATTAGAAAGTAATATCTTTTATACGTTTAGAGTTCTCACGTAGTTCAAACTATTCTTAAATGTTTCAAATTTTATTGGGTTTATACTAAAAATTAGTACACTATTCTAATGAAGTTTAAATGAATAAACTTTAAATTTCTTAGGATTCAGGAATGTATGGAATCTAGTATTTAATTGATTTGAGAGCCATGGAGATTGTGTTAATTTATGAGCTGGACTTCTTTTGTTTTAGAAACTTGCACTAATGATTAACGTTATGTCAGTGATGGTATGAAACCAAACTTGTACCTTTCATTAAGGGTGCCAGTTTTCTTTATGTTACCAAATTATACCTTGAGCCTTTAACAATGTATCTCACTAATCTAATTTGTCTTAAGTGTGATAGGTATATAGGAAAATTTTTCTTACAGATACTTTTGGTGTTTTGCCAGTGACCTGATTTGTAACACATACAAAGTGCAGAAGGTAATACTGAAAATAGAAAAGGGTTGCGTGAGCAGGCTTTCATGCTTTTCCCCCAAGAATCTGAATTGAATTTTTCTTAATCATTTGGGGTTGGCTAGCTTCCAGATTCATTAATAATGAGCTCTCTCTTTAATAGAAGTATATGATAGTAGTAACAGTACATTTAGGTGGTGTGAAATGATTTACAATCACAGCATGAACTATGTATTTGGGAATGATAACTCTCTGGTACTGTCATAGTGATTGCAGATTTCATGTACTGTGAAGAGCCTCAATAAATAAAAAGCACTCACCCTCCAGAATTGTAGTTTACTACCTTACTGAGTCCCTCCATATGGAAAATATCTCAGTCTCTCTTGTACTAGAAGGGAAAACTAAACATGAAAAGGAATGTTAAACGCACCTCAGCCTCCTTAGTAGCTGGGATTACAGGTATGTGCCACCACACCAGCTAATTTTTTTGCATTTTTAGTGGAGACAGAGTTTCACTATGTTGGCCAGGCTAGTTTTGACCTCCCGACCTCAGGTGACTTGCCCGTCTGGGTGTCCCAAAGTGCTGGGATTATAGGCGTGAGCCACCACCCCGGCCAGAATTTTATTATTTTTAATTTAGTATGCTCACACATCCAGCCAGCAGGCTTAATTTATTTTTTAGTTTTTACTTTGCCAAAAGATTTTCCCACTCCAGAATTTTTTTTTTTTTGGAAGGAGTTGAGTATCACTGCCAAATGTACTTGGGTGTGGTGGCTTATGCCTGTAATCCCAGCACTTTGGGAGGCTAGATGATCACCTGAGGAGGTCAGGAATCGTGAGACCAGCTTGGCCAACATGGCAAAACCCCGCCTCTGCTAAAAATATAAAACAGCAGGGTACAGTGGTGTGCGCCTGTAATCCCAGTTACTTGGGTGGTGGAGGCACCAGAATTGCTTGAACCCAGGAAGTGGAGGTTGCAGTGAGCGGAGATCACACCACTGCACTCTAGGCTGGGTGACAGAGTGAGGGTCTGTCTCAAAAACAAAGAACTGATTAACTGGTGTCTGCATACTATTATTAAAATGGCTTGAAAAAACAGACGTGGAGTAATACCGCCTCAACATATAACTGATGAATCAGATTTCTGAGTAATCTAGAGTTCATATACTGCAGTTAAGGGGATTTGTCCGCTGGGAAAAATGACTGTCTTTTAGAACTTAATTTTAATTTGTACTGTTAATTGGAAAATGGGATGTAAAAGTCATGAAAGTCTTTGATAGAACTTGGAGTGAAAAATGGATGGCTTCTTATTTAAAAGGAAAAAAGTAACAATTTCATTCATGACTTACTGGAAAACTAAAACCTAATTTTTAGAGTCCTTTCTAGATTTCAAAGTATACCTTTTCCCCTTGATATAACCTTAAGATGATCTTCATATTTATAAACAAGAATATTTGTCCTTTACAAAAGATAGGGTTCAGTTAACAGAACTGAGTTATATAAAATTCTGGAATGTTAGCTTTAGATAGAAAACTCTAGTCGAGGTGTGGGGAGATCAGATAATTGGGAAGAAAAGGCATATGGCTTTTCATGTGGTTAACAGATTTAGCTGTCTGGCCCTTTCTGGACAATATTATATCTTGATTTTATCCTGTATTCTCAACTTGGACAACACTAGAAAATAAGTATTTGGCTAAATAGTCTCTCACTAAAAGGAAAGAGATTCAGAGCTTGAATTGGCCAATAGTAGCTATATCAAAAAGGGAAATAAGGTATGCAATTTTCAGTATCAAATGAAACCATTTCTGGGAAGCATAACTATTCCTGCTTCCACATCTTGAGATACTTGTCCTTACGTTTTCATTTAGATGTTTATATTACTAGAGTAAGTCTTCCTAGAATAGGAACAGGTTTTCAAATGAGTGTTACTTGTGACATTTTTTTCTGGTGGCTGAGGACATAATGCAGAGTGTGTAACAGTAATAATAGGCCTTAAGACAGTCGCGTCTGAATATGATAGTGCTCCAGGTATTAGGAATATCTAGCAGAGTAATTGGATTAGGATGTATATTCTTAAAGCAACTGTTACATGGATGTAACTTGCAGGTTTAAAATTCTGTATTTTGTTTATTTTGGTAAGTATGAGCTAGGCACTGGAGCAGCAAGATAAGGCTTTGTCCTTTTTATTCTTGCACTGTATATAATACATGAAAATAATATTTTCTTGGTTTATATATTCATAGGCCCTATTTTTTGAATGAGCTAGGCTCCAAATAATGGGGTACTAATATGCAAATCAGGATTCTTTTAGTAACTCTTTGGTACTTCTAAGGATCCAGTTCTCTGTCATTCAGAGTTCATCTATTTAAACTCGCCTCTCCTAAACACTGGGAAGCTTCAAAATTTTAGACACATGGTATGTTGACATGTTCTTAAACATAATTTTCTGGTATCTTAGACAAATCTCCGTCCTGCACTATGTTACTGAATAAGTTGAGAACTAGATGTGAGTATTGATACAACAAAGAAGGTTATGGAGAAGTTTCAAAAGTAGTTCTCAGATAACACTGCCCAGTAATAAATTTCATATATATAACAGCCACAACCTATCTTGAATGTACTGTTGATATAAGCCATTTGGTAGTCTCAGTAGTCATTAAGGAAAAGGACAGCAGAATTAAGTTAAAATACCATAGTGGGTTGAAAATCTAAGTCCCGCCTGGCTAAGTAACGTTTAGGATCATCATCGCATAACAACTACACAATATCATAGTGTTAATCCTAAATCATAAAAGATTAGTTGGGAATGTGTGATTAATAAGAATTTTGAAAAAGTTTTAAGGTGTGACAAGTGCCTGAAGGGTAAAATATCCATTTGAGAAAATCCATTCTAATACCTCAAAATCCCCTGATAATGCCAACTCAGTGCTAAATTGTTTAAAGCTCATCAAGGAAAATGACTTCCTTACGTAAGAGGGACTTTAGACAAAATGGATCTTTTCCTGAGCTAATAGAGTTTCTGGCATAAAGTATTATAATATGTAATAGGATAAGGTGTAGGAGAAAAATGTGAGATAAAACTAAACCTCTCACTAATCATTTTCAATGTCAAACTTTCCTCGCATATTGCTGCCAGTTTTTATTCAAAATTTCCAAGCTTACTATTATACAAAGTTCCCTTGCCATTTTGCCATTTGAATATTCCAAAAGGTAAAAGATAACTAAAAACCTATTGTTTAAAAGGAAGTAGAAAGGCAATACAGATTTCAGATGAGGGCCTGAAAGTAACTGGAATAGATACAGAGTTTTCACGGTGCACTCATATTTCAGTGTTAAACATGTTCTGGCACTTAAGCATTTCACAGCTGTTGTCTTTATGGCTAAGTTTACAAAGTGAGAGGGGGTAGCAAACATTAGTAAATAGTAGTACATAGCGTTGGTATGGGGAAGGAACAAGAATCGTGGAAGTACTTTGTGAATGAGAGGTTTTCAAATATTTTTATCTAGATGCTGGTGACTGAAATTGACCTCTTAAACTTCTCCTGAACTCCGATTTTTCCCTCCAACTCTTCCCTGGATAGTTCTGCTGGAACTTCAACACCGCAAACAGAATTCATCATCTGTACCCCATACTACTGCAAACTGATGTTCTTTCCTTTATCCATTTAGCTAATTGGACATCCCTATAAAGTATGTTCTGTCTTTCCCTTTCCACCACCACACCCTCCACCCAAATAATAGATGCTCATCACTGTCCCCACTTGTTGCATTGGTCTAGTTTGGACTTGACCCATAAATTTCATCTTTATATTGCCATCTCTGGGATGTTTTTCCAGTGCAAAATTATTTTAAAACTAAATTGATGTCTTATTGCCTGAACCTTAGTCATGATGAACTATAGGAACTCCCTATGAGCTGTTTTTTGCCGCCTTGCCTTATGCTACTCCTTGTTCACTCTCCTATCTAGTCTTACACCATAGAAAAAAATTTCCAATTCCTTTTTTTCTGAGGCCACTGAATGTTGAACATACCTTTAGGCTAGCAATTCATTCCACTTAACATGTCTCTGCCAGAATAAAATTTTAGCGTTTAATACTGTGCATGGCACACATACTGTAGTTATGTAATAAATGGTCCTTGAGTGTATTAATGAAAGAATGATAATTGCATATTTATAGAGGCTTGATTTAATTTTATGGCTGCTGCTGCTAGAAACAAATACATTCTGGGCTGTCTTGTGCTGAATAAGAGTTCACCTTGTGGTGATCAGGAAAGTTATATTGTTAATCTTTCCTTCATTGTTCAAGTCACCCCTGCATGTTTTGGAGTACCATGTTTAATTTACTATATTTAAAAAAGAATCGCGGTGGCTCACGCCTGTAATCCCAGCACTTTGGGAGGTCGAGGCGGGTGAATCACGAGGTCAAGAGATTGAGACCATCCTGGTCAACATGGTGAAACCCCGTCTCTACTAAAAATACAAAAAATTAGCTGGGCATGGTGGCGCGTGCCTGTAATCCCAGCTGCTCAGGAGGCTGAGGCAGGAGAATTGCCTGAACCCAGGAGGCGGAGGTTGTGGTGAGCCGAGATCGTGCCATTGCACTCCAGCCTGGGTAACAGGAGCGAAACTCCGTCCCGGGGGGGGTGGGGGGGGGGAAGAATCTAGGAGCTTTAGGTATGAAATAGTGTCATGTGAATAGTTGGAAAAGGTAAGTTTACTATAGGAAAATGATTACGAGATAGGTGTGTGTGTTTGTGTTTGAGATGGAGCCTTGCTCTGTTGCCCAGGCTGGAGTGCAATGGTGCAACCTCAGCTCACTGCAACCTCTGCCTCCCGGGTTGAGGCGAGTCTTCCGCCTCAGCTTCCACAGTAGCTGGGATTACAGGCACACACCGTCATGCCCAGTTAATTTTGTATTTTTGTAGAAACGAGTTTTGTCATGTTGGCCACGACGGGGAAAGGGAGGAGGTTATAAAGTGGTTTATTCACAAGGGCAAAGGGAAGGACAAGGAACTTGAGAAAATTGTAACTTAGTCCATGTAGGGGTTCTGACCCATCACCCTTCTTCTGCACGTATTTTCAGCCTTATCCAGCACAGACTGCTGGGCATATCACTATATTTGCTATCAATTGTTTTGCTAGTTGCTTAGTCCCAAATAATTCTTTTCTGTCATCCCACATCTAGTTATTTTATTCAACAAATAGATTGAATGCCTATTATATATCAGGCACTCTTCTAAAGCACTGGGGAAAGATACAGCATGGATCAAAACAAATTCCTGTTCTGGAGTCTACAATTTAGTTTGGAGATAGAGAAGCAAAATTAAATATACATGGTGATAAGTGCTATAGAGAAAAGCAAGTAGGCTTAGAATGGAGAGAGATGCCCCACTGGCATGTAAGCTCGAGGAGGACAAGGACCTGACCTGCTCATTAAACCATTTTCCGTACTTAGAATGGTGTCTGCCGCGTAGTAGATACCCATTATTGGTTGAATGAGTAAATGATGTTGGCCATAGACAAATTCGTTCCAAACTTATGTCAGTAGCAGGCACACATCTTAAATTGTTATGTCACTCCGGTGCACTTCTTGCTGAAATTCAGAAGAGGAAGCTATTTGGTATGAAGCCAATAACGTCAACTCAGAAATGGAAATTGGGTTATCACCTGCTTCGAGTCTCAGCCCGAAGTTTTCAGGAAACAGCGAGCTTCGCTGTGACATGTCACTAGAAGCCTTGCCTACTAAGTACATGTCCATCCTCGGCTAAGTCAGGAGGGTGTCCGGCCCATATGCGGTAGCCTGGATACGTAGGTGTATTTAGTGAACGAACGAACGAATCCTAGCCACTGCAAAGCTGCAAAACCCTCGGGGATAGTGCTTGGCTTCTATTAGTCTCACTGGTATTTTAATATTAGCTGAACAAATGAAATGACCAAAAAATAAATCGTGACTTTGTGTCAGGCGAACTTGGGAAGGCGGGTGCGCTTTGGGTCCAGCGGTATGGGTAACATACTCTCTGCAAAAAGTTAAGTAGGGTACGAACTCTGGATTCCAAGTCCAGCTCACCGGTTTGTACCTAAAACCTTGCCCTGCGCCTGCGCCACCGTCCTAGCGCGACCTGCCCAGCCCGCTAGCTCCTCTTGGCTGTCTCGCGGAAGACCCGCCTCTTGAGAAGGAGAAACAGTCGCTTCCCGAATTGCCTGACGTCATGGGATGACCAATCAGAAGCAGCAATCTTCAGTCTCGCCCAATGAGACCGGGCATAGGTCCTGGCCCGCGGAGTTTGATTTCGTCCTGTGATGCGGAAGTAGCTGTCCAGTCCTAGGGACTAGCAGGTGGGTTGGTTGGGCCCGGTAGGAGGTGGGCGCGCTTCCCGTGGCGTTACCCTGGCTGAGCTTGAAGCTCCAGGGCTGGGCACTGGGTCGACCTCATATTCCTTGGTGAGGGCATTGTTACAGCTTGTGGCCTGCAAACCGAGGCGCGCGGGTGGGAACTGGTTCGAGGTCTGGGTAGATGTCTGAGCGATCTGGACCAGGAGCGGCTGAGTCGAATTCGATTGAGGATTCCTAAAGCCCTCCGCTTGATGTTCCGGTGATTCCTAGGAGGCTCGGCTCCCGAAGAAGGTGAGCAAGACTACCACACTGGGTTTGGAGAGCCCTAGGAAGCTTGTTGCCAAAGCGAGGGACGCGATCCGGCTCTGGTCACGGCCTGTTACTAGTTGGGTGACCAAGTCACGTCACCTGTCTTGGAATTCATGCTCCTTATTTTAAAAGAGCGAGGAGGGATGGGCGGTACTTCGATATACGTGTGAGAAGAGCTACTGTTCATTTTTAAAAAACGTTGAGTCGGGCCCTTGCCTGCTTTCAAGGATCGGCTAAATTCACCCGTCTGCTAAGAGTCTCAGCCCAGAGCTTTCAGGAAAGAGCGAGCTTCCCCGTGGCATGTAACTTGAAGCCTTGCCTACAAGATGTCCAGTTTGTTGTTAATCGGTCCCTATTTACTAGGCCCCTTCATAAGCTCAAACATCCTAGGAGGTTTTAATGTAATTTAGCCAATAAATCGAAATTTCCTTTACAACCATCTCCCTTTCCTCCAGACTTCCCCTTCCTTCCCTTTTTTTTTTTTTTGACTTCCTTCAAAATAATCCTGGCCAGGAGAAATTAGTTAATGGTGTAATATGTATCGAGAGGACTCTTCCAGGTTAAAAGTACAATCTGTGTGGCATTTGTCATGAGTAATATTTTCTAAAATTTTTCCCAAAGGCACCAAGAAACTGATAATGTTTCTTTGAATTGCTTCTGTATTTGCTTCATCAATGTCTCTCATACTGAATATCTTAAGAGAGATGCTGGAATATTTTGGCGTTCCTGTAGACCAGGTAAATGGATTGAAATGGATCTGTTGTATTTGTTTTTGGGTTTTGTTTTGAAAATGATTTATATGTAATAATTTGATTTAAGGCAAAATTGTTGCTTCTTTTTAGGTGAAACAAAGGTAACTTTGCAATAGTATAGCTTTGATGGTTTGAGTTAGAAAAGGGATAAGATTATTGAGAACGGCCGGGTGCGGTGGCTCACGCCTGTAATCCCAGCACTTTGGGAGGCCGAGGCGGGTGGATCACGAGGTCAAGAGATCGAGACCATCCTGGTCAATATGGTGAAACCCTGTCTCTACTAAAAATACAAAAATTAGCTGGGCATGGTGGCACACGCCTGTAGTCCCAGCTACTTGGGAGGCTGAGGCAGGAGAATTGCTTGAACCTAGGAGGCGGAGGTTGCAGTGAGCCGAGATCATGCTATTGCACTCCAGCCTGGGTAACAGTGAAACTCTGTCTGGAGAAAAAAAAAAAAAGATTATTTAGAACATATTTACCTGATAGGACAAATGCCAAGAGAAGACACAAAGGAAGCAAAATATAGACATGACCTTCACAGAATTACATTTATTGCACAGATACATTAAAACTTTTATTTAAGGTAATTTGTAAACCATTTCAATATTTAAAGCTCAATAAATCCAGAATAAATCTAATGGAAAGAGGCTGACTTAGGCCTGAGAATTATAAGCTGTATTAGTCTGTTCTCATGCTGCTAATAAAGACATACCTGAGACTGGATAATTTCTAAATGAAAGAGGTTTAATTTGACTCACAGTTCTACATGGCTTGGGATGCTTTACAATCATGGCGAAGGCAAATGAGGAGCAAAGTCACATCTTACATGGTGGCAGGCAAGAGAGCTTGTGCAGGGGAACTCCTATTTACAAAACCATCAAATCTCATGAGACTTATTCACTACCATGAGAACAGTATGGGGAAAACTGCCCCCATGATTCAGTTATCTACACCTGACCCTGCCCTTGACACATGAGGATACTTACAATTCAAGGTGAGATTTGGGTGGGGACACAGCCAAACCATATCGTAAACAAATCCAATTTTGTCTACTTGTTGAACATCTACTGTATCTAACACTATATGCTTGTTTCTGTAGGTAATACAGAGGAGTAATACATGGCTCTTGTATTTTTAAAATATGAGGAATAAACAATAGAGATAACTATAATATGAGATTGACTATAAGGAAGATGTAAAATATTATGGGGGCTTACAAAATGAGCCAATCAGCTGTGTTTGGTGGGGTGAATTAGAAGAGAGTAGTCAAGGATAATTTTAAGATTTTTTAAGCAAAAGTAAGTTGAAGAATCATGGTGCCATTATTATAAATGGGCATCTTAGTATGAGAAACTAGAGTATGGAGATGAGGTGAGTCAGAGGTGATGTTAGAATATATAAATAGAAATATCCTGCAGACAATTGGATATATGGTTTTAGAATGTGGGAAAGAAAAAGATTCTGTTTTGGGAGTTATCTGCATTGTTTTGATATTTAAAGCCACGGACTTTGATGATGGCAGATGTCCTTAGATGTGATTGAAACATTTTAAATTTCAGTAATAGCAAGACTGAAGATAACAGCTGAACATTTATTTATCATATGAGGTTTCTGGTGCCCTTAAGCGTTTCTGTAAGTGGAGATGGGACTGTGTTGGAGTAGTTTGAAGAATGTGAGGAAGTGGGATCAGCAACCTTCTTTTGAAAAGTTTGCTTGTGAAAAGAAACTGAGAGAGGCCATCAATCTGAAGGGGCAGCAGGATGGAATTTTTGTTTTTATTTTAAAGTTAGAATGCACTTCAGCATATTTGTAATCACTCTGGAAGAAGCTTACAGACAGGAAGGAATTTAAGATACCCCTGAGAGAGTGATTGAGCAATGCCCTTGAGAAGGTAGTTGGGCAAGGGATCTAATTTAAAAAGTCTTGGAAAGGAGAGAAACTGTCCTACCTTAAAGAACAGAATGAAAGTGAGAGATAGTGAAAAGAGATTTTGTTTTTGAGATGGAGTCTTGCTCTATTGCCCAGGCTGGAGTGCAGTGGTGCAATCTTGGAAAGAGATTTTGTTTTTGAGATGGAGTCTTGCTCTATTGCCCAGGCTGGAGTGCAGTGGTGCAATCTTGGCTCACTGCAACCTCTGCTTCCCAGGTTCAAGTGATTCTCCTGTCTCAGCCTCCTGAGTAGCTGGGATTACAGGATTCTGCCAACATGCCCAACTGATTTTTACATTTTTAGTAAAGATGGGGTTTCACCATGTTGGCAAGGCTGGTCTTGAATTCCTAACCTCAAGTGATCTGCCCTTTGTTGGCCTCCCAAAGTGTGCCTAGCCTGAAAAGAGATTTTGAATGGAGCTAAGTAAGATAAATGAAGTTGAAGAATGCAAAGTTGAATTTCTCGGTTTTCTCAGTAAGAGCAGAGACAAGGTCACTTGCAGGTAATGAAGTGATGGTGGTAGGGACTTCAGAGATTGGAGACTGCTCTGGGCAATGTGATATCGAATCTAACATGTTATGAAGGGTTTTCAGAATACCTATGAGAATCCAGCTGAAGTCATCATGAAGTTGTAGTTTTTCTAAATATTGTCATTTTGTGATTTTTTTCCCTAGCTAAGAGTAATTAGGGTAGTTTATTCATTAGCAGTGTGGAAGCACATAATATCAAAAGAATGAACCATTTTTGAGTGGCATTGAACATATTACTGAAATAATATGTTGGTAGGAAAATTAGTAAAGTCAAAATGTGAGTGCTAGACCAGGAATAGAGGGAAGATGAAATAATAAGAATGGTGAAGATGGCTCCTGGTGAAGATCTCTCCAGGAGGAGAGATCCAAGATGGCTGATCACTAGCAGCTCAGGATCGTAGCTCCCAGTGAAAGCTCAGAGAACGAGAGGATGCCACATTTTCAGACAAATTTTCGTCGCTCACGGACCAGCAGATTTCTAGTGGAGGAGCCCCACGGGTTGCCAGTGTGACTCTTGTGGCCGGTGCAGCGGTTTTGCCAGTGCCTTGGCGCGGCAGCTCTTCATGCAGAGTAAACGGGACTGGTTCCCTTACTGACCGGTGTTTGGAGCTCCGGGAAGGCAGAGCGCTTGTTGCGGTCTCAAGAAGAAAGCCAGACCAGAGATTCCCGGGCAGAAGAGCATCATCAGTCTTATCGCTGCTATTTTGGCCGGCGCAGGGGGTTGCTTGAATCCCAGCACTGGGAATCAATAAATTGGACGTTGACTCAGAAATCTAATTAGAAAGGCAGTAATTGTAAAGACGACAGATGGATAAATTTATAATAAAGGGAAAAAACCAGCCTAAGAAGGCCGAGCATACCCAAAATTAGAACCCCTCTCCCTCTACAGGGGGTTGCAGTTCCTCATCAGCAACGGAACAAGCCCTGATGGAAAAGGACTGTGTTCCATTATCTGAAGTAGGCTTCAGAAGGTGGATGATAAGAAACTTCTGGGAATTAAAAGAACTTGTTCTAACCCAATGTAAAGAAACTAAGAACTTTGAAAAAAGGTTTGACGAAATGCTGAAAAGAATAGACAATATAGAGAGGAATATAAATGAACTAATGGAGTTGAAAAATACAAAACAACTTAGTGAAATATGCACAAGTTTAAATAGCAGAATGGATCAAGCAGAAGAAAGGATATCAGAGGTCGAAGACCAACTTAATGAAATAAAATGACAAGACAAGAATAGAGAAAAAAGGATAAAAAGGAATGAGCAAAGTCTCCAAGAAATATGGGACTATGTGAAAAGACCCAATCTACGTTTGATTGGTGTACCTGAATGTGATGGAGAGAATGAATCCAAGCTGGAAAATACTTTTCAGGATATTATCCAGGAAAATTTTCCCAATCTAGCAAAGCAGGACACTATTCAACCTCAGGTAATACAGAGAACACCACAAAGATATTCCTTAAGAAGAGCAACCCCAAGGCACATAATTGTTAGATTCACCAGGATCGAAATGAAGGAGAAAATACTAAGGGCAGCCAGAGAGAAAGGCCAGGTTACCCATAAAGGGAAGCCTATTAGACTTACAGCAGATCTCTCAGCAGAAACCCTACAAGCCAGAAGAGAGTGGGGGCCAATATTCAACATACTTAAAGAACAGAACTTTCAGCCTAGAATCTCATATTCTGCCAAACTAAGCTTCACAATTGAAGGAAAAATAAAATCTTTTATGAACAAGCAAGTACTCAGAGATTTTATTACCACCAGGCCTGCTTTACAAGAACTTCTGAAAGAAGCATTATACATAGAAAGGAACAACCAGTATTAGCCTTTCTAAAAATATACCAAAAAGTAAAGAGCATCAACATAAAGAAGAATTTACATCAACGAATGGATAAAATAGCCAGTTAACATGAAATGGCAGTAACCCTAAATTTAAATCGACTAAATCCCCCAATCAAAATATACAGCCAAAACCTAATGGTATATCCAAAGATACACAAAGACTCAAAACAAAGGGTTGGAGAAAAATTTACCAACCAAATGGAGAGCAAAAATTAATAAATAAACAAAAAGCAGGAGTTCCAATTCTCACATTTGATAAAATAGACTTCAAAACAACAAAGATGCAGTGGTAAAAGGATTAATGCAACAATAAGAGATCTTAATACCCAGATACATAAGACCCATAATGAGATTTAGACTCAACAAGATAGAAAATTAATAAGGATATCCAGGACTTCAACTCAGATCCGGAACAAGTAAACTCAATAAATAGTTATAGAGTTCTCCATTTTAAATACACAAGATATCGATTAGCCATTATTAATACCCATTTTTAGAATGAAGCAATATTCCTGTTCTCTCTCCCTCTTTTTCTTCCTCTTTCTTCCTTTCCTTCTCTCCTTTTTTTACTTTTCAACATCCTAGTTCCTCACCTGTACTCAATACATTCCTCTGAACATCTGATTAAAAAAAAAAAAAAAAAAAGAAGATGGCCAGGCGTGGTCAAATCCTACCATTTTAAGAGGCTGCGGCAGGCAGATCACTTGAGCCCAGGTTTTCAAGACCAGCTTGGGCAATATGATGAAACTCCATCTCTACAAAAAATAAAAAAATTAACCAGGCATGGTGGTATGCACCTGTGGTCACAGCTACTCCAGAGGCTGAGGTAGGAGGGTTGTTGAGTCTGGGAGGCGGAGGTAGCAGTAAGCCCTGATCATGCCCCTGCACTCCAGCTTGGGTGACAGAGTGAGACCCTGTCTCAAAACAAACCAACCAACCAACAAACAAAAAAGCCCTAAAAGCAAACAACAAAAATGGTGAAGATGGCTACAGGCAATGAAGGAATGAGAGGAAGAACAGGAGTTTGTTAGGATGGAAACTGCCGAGCAAGATAGGAAGGTATCATTTAAGTTAAACAAGAGCTAACTCCTTGGGTGACTATATGTCACTGTCATAGGTGGCCCTCATGGAGGCAAAGCCTCTATGCCTGTGGTTCTTAGCAGCGGTATGCAGATGAAAGGTCTGCAGAACACTTTAAATATAAATGCTCAATCCTCCAAATATTCTACTATTAATAGATCTGGGGTCTATATCTTCCAGGCTGTGCAATCCAGTATAGTAGCCACTGGCCATTTGGAGTTCACTTTTAAGTGCTTGAAATATCTGAATTGAGATCTTCTATAAGTGTAAACTATATAGGGATTTTAAAGACTGGAAAAAACGTAAAATAATAGGGATATAAAAATACTGATTATCAGTTGATCATCACTATTGCAAAAATCTGAAAACCGAAATGCTCCCCAAATCCCAAACTTCTTGAGTGCCAGCATGATGCCACAATGGAAAAATTTTACACCTGACCTCATGTGATGGGTCGCAATCAAAACGCAGGTGCACAACCCATAGTTTACTCCTCCTGCCCTTGTTGGTTGTTGCTGTTGTTTATCAGCTGAGAAGGCCTAAGACTGGGATTCTGGTGATGCTCCTGTGCTGCTTAGTTGTACTGAACACATTAGTTTTTCACAGTATTAATAGTATATTTTTTGGCTGTTAACTACTTATGTGTATGTAAGTGTAGAAAATGATTGCTTATCAGTCACACACAAATTCAGAGTCAGAAATGATGGTGATGCCAGACAACTACAGACTGTCCACATGGGTGGCTGAGGTAGTGACACCTTTGCTTTCTAATGGTACAATGTACACAAACTTTGTTTAATGCAGGTGGGTATTTAAAACATTATATAAAATTACCTTTAGGCTATATGTCTAAGGTGTATATGAAATATAAATATATTTTGTGTTTAGACTTGGGTTCCATCCATAAGATATCTTATTATGTGTATGCAAATATTCCAAAATTTAAAAAAATATGAAATCCGCAACACTTCTGGTTCCAAGCATTTTGTATATGAGGGATGCTCAACCTGAATTTACGTATTGAGTGAAATAATACATATTAAGAAAATTAATTTCACTTAGTTCTTTTATGTTTTATGTGGCTACTAGAATATTTAATTTACATGTGTGGCTAGTGTTATATTTCTTTTGAAGAACGTATTAGGTGATTCTAGTGTACTCATGGTTGATAACCACTGCCCTGAAAGACTCTAAAGGAATACATGCCTGTCTCTGTCTCAAGGAGTTCACAATCTAATGGGGGAAAACAACAGCAAGTGAAACAAAGTCACGTGTAATTATGTGTTCTATTATATGGTACTCATTGGAACTAGTTTAGAACTGAATAAAGTTTAGGAAGCTCTTGAGAGTGGAAATAATTAAATTTGTAGTGGAATTGGATATTTAAAGACAGGTGTAAACTGAACCAGGACTGAGACTAGAGTTAGATCAGTGCCCTCTATGGGTGAAGCATGGCAGTTAAGATGCTACATTGGATTGGGTTTAAGACCATAAGGAAGACTGCTTAACTCAAAAGAACTTATATTCCTGTTAATGAATACTGTGATATTAATTTGATTCAGTAGAATAGAACCAAGTGGTAGAGGACTTTAAAGGGTTATTGGAAAGAATGTGGAGTGCATAGATTATGTTGTGGAGACAGGGCCGACAGAAGTGAAACATTGTGAGGCTAGTTGATGGAACCAATATTCAATGTTAGACTCTGATCAGATCAATTTAGAGCTGTTGCTATCTAAAAGCAGAAGAATAGCATGGCTGTGCAAAGAATTCCATGTGCTGATGACTTTGAAATCCTTCTTTTTAGCCTTAGAAAGTCCTATGCCTTCCATTTTTTACCTAAAGCATGTATTCTGTATCCCAGTGATTCCCAACCCCAGTTTTCTAATCAGTTTTTGTACTGAGTTCTACAATGGTGTGTCCGTTTGCTTTCTGGATATACTGTTCATTGGATGTTTTAACAAGGATGCTAATAGGATGCTACCTATATCTGTTGCTCATAATACACATTGTCTTTTTATGGGATCTTAGGAAAAATGTCCAATTTTATTATGTCATATCTTTTGGTGGGTGGCGGGTAGTTCCTGTGGCAATGGTTTACATCAGTTTGGGAGGCCCATGCTAAAGGACAAAGTATTATTTGAGTTATAGTCGCCAATTTTCACTTCTCATACCTTTTCCAGAGCTGACTGCCAGCAGCTATCTTTCACTTTATGTAACTAACTCTTTGAATTGTCTAGGACCTGATTTATTTATTCCCTTTTTCATTTTTCCTTTAAAGTAAATTACATATGTATACTCTGTATTACCTCATTGCTTGATAAATTGAAATTGTCAATTTTTGATTGGGCAAAAGATGAGACTTTTAGCTGGGGGAGGGGATGTGATTTTTTTGAACCAAGTTTCCCCCACGATATTTGGATATTATCAGAAACAGAACAACATGAATTATGCTTTTTCAAAGATCTTCCTGGAATGTATTTATGTTTACTACCATCTTTTTTTAAGACAAATATTCATAAAGTTCAATTCTTTGAAGAAAGTCTCTGCCACTCTATATTTCTTTTTAAAAATGAATGCTATTTTACAGTACTTCCTGTATTTTATTTTTTAATTTTTTGAGGTGGAGTTTCGCTCTTGTTACCCAGGCTGGAGTGCAATGGCGTGATCTTGGCTCACCGCAACCTCTGCCTCCTGGATTCAAGCAATTGTCCCACCTCAGCCTCCTGAGTAGCTGGGATTACAGGCATGCGCCACCATGCCCAGCTAATTTTTTGTATTTTTAGTAGAGACGGGGTTTCACCTTGTTGACCAGGATGGTCTCGATCTCTTGACCTAGTGATCCACCCACCTAGGCTTCCCAAAGTGCTGGGATTACAGGCTTGAGCCACCGCGCCCGGCCAGGACTTCCTATATTTAAAAGAAAAAGTCACTGTATCTTTTTTACATCTCCTTTTTTCATGCTTTTATAAACCTGCTTAATCAGAGTGCATTTTAATTACTACTTTATGTTTAAAATAGGTTTTGCTGATTTGGGAAAATAAAGACTATGGATCAACTAGGAGTATTGTTCGGATTATTGGGAAAATGCTTCCATTAGAACCTTGTCGAAGACCTAATTTTGAAGTAAGTTGGTCAACATAAATTGATTAAGTACCAAGTACAAAATAATCCTAGGTACTCTTACAGACGTAGAGTAGAACAACAAAGGAAGAAACGTTTCCTGCAAGCCAAGAAACCTTTAGTTTACCCTTGGGAACAAGCCATTTCACATAAGTTTTTGTGGTGGTGTTTATTTAAATACAGTCATGCATCATTTTATGATGGGGATACTTTCTGAGACATGCCGTGTTCAGGGATTTTGCCATTATGAAAACATCATGGAGTATACTGGCATAAACCTAGATGGTATGTAGTCTACTGTGCACCCATGCTATATGGTATGGCCTGTACTAGTCTGCAAACCTGTGTAGCATATTACTGTACTGAATACTTAGGCAGTTGTTACATAGTGGTGTTTGTGTATCTAAACATAGAAAAAGTACAGTAGCAAGGCAGTAAAAAGATAAAAAATGTTAAATCTGTATAGGGTACCTACCATGAATAGAGGATGGGAAGTTGCTTTGGGTGAGCCAGTGAGTGGTGAGGGAATTTGAAGGCCTAAGATGTTACTGTACACTACTGTAGACTTTATCAACACTGGACACTTAGGCTAGACTAAATTTATAAAAAAACTTTTCTTCATTAATACATTAAACTTAGCTTACGGTAACACTTTCTTATAAATGTTTTCATTTTTAAAACACTTTTTGACTCTTCTGTGATAATACTTATTTTATTTCTTTCTTTCTTTTTACTTTTTTTTTTTTTTTTTAAAGACGGCATTTCAAAAGACCATGTTGGTCTTGTACTCCTGACCTCAGGTGATCTGCCTGCCTTGGCCTCCAAAGTGCTTAGATTACAGGCGTGAGCCACCACGCTCAGCCAATAATACTTATTTTAAAATACACATTTTACAGCTACACAAAAATATTTTTTATATCCTTATTCTATAAGCTTTTTTTTTTTTTTTTTTCTTGAGACAGAGTCTCACTCTGCTGCCTAGGCTGGAGTGCAGTACTGCGATCTTGACTCACTGCAACCTCTGCCTCCTGGGTTCAAGCAATTCTCTGCCTCAGCCTTCTGAGTACCTCCCTTCTGAGGGATTACCGGTGCCTGCCACCATGCCTGGCTAATATTTTGTATTTTTAATAGAATTGGGTTTCATCATCTTGGCGAGGCTGGTCTTAAACTCCTGACCTCATGATCCACCTGCCTCAGCCTCCCAAAGTGCTGAGATTACAAGCATGAGTCACCGCACTTGGCCAAGCTTTTTATGATTTAAAAAATTTTTAAGTTTTTTATACTTTTTAAATTTTTTTGTTAAAACTAAGACACAAGCATACACTCACATTAGCCTAGGCCTACAAAGGGCAGAATCATCAATGTCACTGTCTTCTACCTCTACATCTTGTCCTATTGGAAGACCTTCAGTGGCAATAACATGCATGGAGCTGTCATCTCCTATGATAACAGTATCTTCTCCTGGAATACCTCCTGAAGGACCATCCTGAGACTGTGTTATAGGTAATTTTTTTTTTTTTGAGACAAGATGTTGCTGTTGCCCAAGATGAAGTTCAGTGGTGTGATCATGGCTGCAACTTCAATCTCCTGGGCTTGAGTGATTCTCTTATCTCAGCCTCCTGAGTAGCTGGGACTACTTTTTTTTTTTTTTTTTTTGGTAGAGATGGGATCTTGCTATGTTGCCCTGGCTGGTCTTGAACTCCTGGCCTTAATTGATCCTCCTGCCTTGGCCTCCCAAAGAGCTGGGAGTACAGGTATGCATTACTATACCCAGGCAACTTCTTTTTTTGAAGTAGAAGGAGTACATTCTAAAATAATATAAACAGTATAATATAGTAAATACTAGGTGATAGGAATATTTCAGTTTCATTATAATCTTATGTGACTCCATCATATGCAGTCTGTCTCCAACCGAAATGTTATACGGTACATGCCTGTAATGACATTCACAGATGGACAAGTTTGAACAATACCTGAAGAGCTTATTTGATTTGATTTTGCATTTTATGATAGATGAAGTTAACCAGGGGAGAGAATATTGCTTAGTGCTTAGACTTTAGCATAACATTTTCCCCAGTGTTCTTTCTTGCTAACAAGTGCATGTTTTCTATTGAATATCCTTTTTCTTTTTCTTTTGGTTTGTTAACTTATTTAATACCATGGAGCATGTGTCTTCTCCTGACTCCCTGCAGAGCTCTGACTTTTTTTTTCTTTTTTTACTTTAGTTGATCCCGCTCTTGAACTCTGTAGACTCTGATAATGGTGGATCTATGGTTCCATCTTTTGCTGACATTTTGTGTGTGGCAAATGATGAAGAAGCCAGTTGTCTCAGATTTCGGTAATTTTATATGCTTATCTTGGAAAGTGGGCTATAACCTGAATTCTTGCATGTGTCGAAGCTTGCTCAGATTGATTGAGCTTTTTTGTTTTGTTTATCTTCAAACTGTGCTGTGTTCTGCTATATCTTCCTAATAAAGAAGCCTGGCTGTTTTTCATCTTTTTAGCCAGTTTTTTTTTTTAATGCACATTGAAACCAAACACTAGACTTAAGAGGGAATGGATATTAAAGGGATATTAGAATCATATCTTTAGCCAAACTTATACAGTGTTTCCTGTGCACCAGGCAATGATGTTAAATGTGTGTGTTACTCCTAGGGAGTATTACCTTACATGTTAGTATATTCAGATATAGGCCTTAAGCACAGTATTTGTGTTGATATAGGCCTTAAGCACAGTAATTGTCAATTATTTAAGTATTCTGGCTGATTTTATTATGTATTAAACTGGCACCAATCTTCAAATAGTTAAAAGAACATACATTTAACCCTAACATAGTTCTGAATGTAAGGCTCTTTATTAACTTATATAGAACTTTTAAATAAATTAACTTACCTGCATTTGAAGTTAATAAGTAGAGCAATTGCAGGATAATTATTTTTGTTTTCTAATCTAAAAGCAAGGTTTGTTTTGTTCATTCCCTGGTCACTGACTGATCCTCTATTGGAGGCCACATTCTGTTTATATTGGGAATACAAAGCTAAATAAAATGTTTTGCTTATCCTCAGTGACTCTAGAAACAATCACAGGGGATAGAGAGTAGCTTTTTTTTTTAAGATGAGTCTCACTTTGTTGACCAGGCTGGAGTGCAATGGAGCGATCTCACAACCTCCACCTCCCAGGTTCAGGTGATTCTCCTGCCTCAGCCTCCCTAGTAGCTGGGACTGCAGGGATGCGCCATCATGCCCAGCTAATTTTTCTTTTGAATTTTAAAATAGAGATGGGGTTTTGCAGGTCTCGAGCTCCTGAACTCAGGTGATCCAACTGCCTCAACCTCCCAAAGTGCTGGGATTTCAGGCATGAGCCACCGTGCCCGGCCTGAGAGTAGCTTTTATTTTGTTTTCTTGTCTCTTGATTTTCACATAATAGTGTAAGAGTTTATTATTCTTTTGATTGGAAATACATCTTCCCTTCATTTCTTTTTTCATGCACAGAAATAGTATATGGAAAAACGAAGAAGAGAAAGTAGAAATTTTCCATCCTTTGCAACTAGTTTGGGATCCACTGTCACCTGCTCTAAGACAGAAAAAAACCATGAAAAATGATCTGCCTGTAAATGAGGTTGCAATTAAAAGAATAGCTGCTCTTGAAGATGAGCTGACGTTTCTTCGCTCTCAGATTGCAGCAATTGTGGGAATGCAGGAACTGAAAAACAGTACAAATTCTAGTAAGTAACACTAGAATTTTTGTTTCAGTTAGATGATAATCATGGTATAGCCTGTTGCTCATTGGCTACCAACATGTAGAGCATAATACTGTACTGAATATAGTACATGTAGTAGCATACAGGAACAGCAAATATTTAAGCAAGTACAATTCTGAATAAGTACCATGAAAACATTAAATGTATCATAAAAGGATGTTGGATGTACAAACGTTTGTAGTGAGGGGATGGCTTTGATTTAAAGAAGAGCTAGCTATACTATACCAGAAGATTGTATTTTTGTATTAGAAAGTCTTGTCTTCTAAGTAAGCTTTTCTAATTGTTCATAAAAGCATTGGAGATTAAAGAGGAAGAATACATTGGTTTGAAAGAGGATATAGGTTTGAGGGATCATGTGGTTATAGTTTTTAGTTATTGCTGCTATACTTCCACCAAGTTGAGTGAGTAATGTTTTCCAGATGATTGTTTTATAAATTTATAGAGATATTACTTGCTTTAAACATATGCACACACACATACACAAAACGTGTATGTATTTGTGTATAAAATGTTAAGCAATATAGGTACTGAGTGCTTTTCACAACAGATTTGGATGTAAAGGGCTGTCTGTAACATAATTGCTATAAATTTTAAAATATATATGTACATATACAAATGCATAAATATGCATATATAATTTCATATATATTTATAGTGTATATAACATAATTTACATAAAATATGTTATATGTTACAATAACATATTTATACATAATAAATAAAATGATATGTAACTACACACAGTTTTCTTAAGCAATAATCATGTTTACCGACAGCCCTTTAGGAGCTAGTCTATTGTGGAAAAGTTAAATACTAAGTATCCATCTTTTAGCTTTGCCTAGAAAATAATATGCTTGTTTCTCCCCTGTCATTAGAGAGTGAATGTATCAATTTGTATTTCTAACTACAAGTTGTTGATTATGTTTTAGCTTTTTTAAATAGAGGATGAAGTTCAGAGTGTATGTGAATTACTGAAAAAACACATTTTGTTTGTTTGTTTGTTTAAAATGCATTCCCCTCCCCGCCCTGCTCTTGGACCTAGACTGAAAATTTCTAACTGGATTAAAAATGAATTCACAATTTGGCTTGACTTTTAAAGAAATTACTAAGCAGATGGGATTGATTCTGTTTCCTTTCCTACTTTTAGTAGCATTACAGAAATTGCTCCTCTTTTGGTTTAAATAGTGTTATTCATATATATTATGTTAGAGATAATTGTGCATGATTTTTTAACAAATGACTTTGTTTTTAGGTTCCTTTGGCCCGAATGACAAGCCCATTAATTTGGGCCAATTGTCATCATCGTGGGCTGCTCATCCGAGTGTGGAGCCAGATCAGTTTCCAAGTTCAGTGTTTTCTTCTCCTCCTCCTCCACCACCACTTCCTCCTCAGGTTTCATCTGTCCAACCATCGTATTTTCCTCCCATACAACCAGGATCTAATAATATTTGTGACTCAGATAATCCAGCTACTGAAGTGAGCAAGCAGAACCTGGTTGCTAATAAGACCAATTTTAGTCATCATTCACAAAGCCAGAGAAATAAGGATATTCCAAACATGTTGGACGTTCTAAAGGATATGAATAAGGTTAAGCTCCGTGCAGTTGAGCGGTACGTTGTTGTAATTTGAAAGGTGACTGAAGTTTTGTCAATGATATGTTTAGAAAAATTACTATGTTTATGAAAATTAACATATGTCTTTTCTTACTCTTCTTTACCCCTGAATACCTTTCCCAGAGATAATGACATTCATTTATTTTTGACTATTACTTCTAGTCTTTTATCACCATATTTTTGAAATAACATACTTCAGATATTTCTTGATATTTTAATTATTTTGACTTCCAATTGTAGGATATTAGGAATATATTTTATTAGATATTCTACCCAGGACACACACACACACATCTTGCTACGTCTTCCTGAAGTAGTTAAACCATAGTCTTTAGTTAAATGAGTATTCGAATTGATATCCTTATTATAACAGTAAACATCCACAGCAAGCCATTTCTCATATTGTCACCCAGGCTGGAGGGCAGTGTTGAAATTACGGCTCACTGCAGCCTTGACCTCCTGGGCTCAAGTAATCCTCTCACCTCAACTTCCTTTGTAGCTGAAACTACAGGCATGGGACACCATACCTGGCTAAGTTTTGTATTTTTGTAGAGATGGGATTTCGTTGTGTTGCCTAGGCTGATCTCAAACTCCTGAGCTCAAGGGATCACCCATGTTGACCTCCCAAAGTGCTGGGATTATAGGTGTGAGCCACTGTGCCTGGCCCCATTTCATATATTTTGACTAAATTTTGTTTGTTAAATTATTTTTTTTGGAGTGAATAATTGCCTCTCTGAGTCCCATTTGTGTGTGTGTGTGTGTGTGTGTGTGTGTAATGAAAAAACATAATGAGCTCTATTCTGTTAACACATTTCTAAGTGTGTAAGACAGTATTGTTAACCATAAGCACAATGTCATAACAGATCTCTAGAGCGCTTTCATCTTGCATAACTGAAATTTCATACTCATTGAACAGTAACTGCTTCCCTCCCCGTCATTCCCTGGCAACTGCCTTTCTTCTTTCTGCTTTCATAGTTCAATTACTTTATTTTTTATTTTATTTTATCTTATTTAAAAAATAGACAGGATCTCACGATATTGCTTGGGCTAGTCTTGAACTCCTGGGCTCAAGCAATACTCCTGCCTCGGCTTCTCAAAGTACTGGGATTATAGGCAAGAGCAACTGTGCCTGGCCAAGTTTGATTATGTTAGATACTTCATATAAGTGATTCATGAAGCATATATCTTTTTGTGACTGGCTTATTTCACTTAGCATATTGTATATTCTATTGTATGTATATACCCCATTTTTTAATCCAGTCATCTGTTGATAGACATTTAATTTGCTTCCATGTCTTGGCTATTGTGAATAGCACTGCAACAAATGTGGGCGTGCAGATATCTCTTTGAGATCCTGATTTAACTTCTTTTGGATAAGTACCCAGAAGCAGGATTGCTGGATCATAGATAGGGTTGTTCTATTTCTAACTTTTGGATGAGCATCCATTTAGTTCTTGGCGATTCTCCTTGCGGATCCCTCTGCACCCTGGTTGCAGTCTGCCTTGTTGCTTTCTCTGCCTGCTACACTGCCGCTATCCTAAGGGTTTCCTTCGCTGACATCTTGAGCATTCTTTTGCCCTTTTTTTCTATGTTACCTCACTGTTTTCCTAAATGTCACATCTTCCTATAATTTCCTAAGAAATGTAAAAGGTAGATTAGTTTAATACTTTGCACGTCTGAAAATGTTCTTTTATTCTTAGATTTAATTGCTAGTTCAGCTGTGTATATAAATAGCACAGAAAATAATTTTTCCTAAGAGTTTTGAAGACATCATTCCTTTGAATTTTAGCTCTTGGTGTCCCCATCGAGAGGTTGATGTCATCATGATTCCTAGAACTATGTGTGATCTTTTCTTGCAGCATTTTAGATTTTCTCATTAATCCTGTTGTTCTGAAACTGCATGTAGATGTGCCCTGGAAAATTCTTTTTAAATTGATTATTCTGGGCACTTATGGGCTCTATCAGTCTAGAGTTTTATGTCTTTCATTTTGGGGAACGTCTTAGAAACGTATTTCTGATAATTTTAGCTCATTCTGTCCTTTTGTTCTCTCTGGAATTCCTACTTTGAATGCCAGAATTTTTCCTCTAGTCTTTGTATCTTCCTTTACTCTTTTCTCTCTCTTTGCCTTTTTATAGTACATTTTTTTTCCTTTTTAAGACAGAGAAAAAAGAAAGAAAGGAAGAAAAAGAAAGAAAAGAAGAAAGAAAAAGGAAGAAAGATAAAAGAGAATGAAAGAGGAAGAGAAAGAGGGAGACAGAATGGGAATCTTGCTCTGTTCCCCAGGCTAGAATGCAGTCTAAAACTGGGTATTAAAAACAATAAATGTGCTTAACAATGGACGCAGGAAGGAATAAGGGAGGAAAATAAACAAGCAGTCAACCAATATTTTATTTAAACCTGTGAAATGCTATGCAATTGCTGAGGAGTGATTTACTTCCAATTTTGTGGTCACTTTTAGAATAGGTGTGATGTGATACTGAGAAAAATGTATGTTTTGTGGATTTGGGGTGGAGAGTTCTGTAAATGTTTATTAAGTTTACTTATTCTAGGTCTGAGTTCAAGTCCTGGATATTCTTGTTAATTTTCTGTCTCGTTGATCTGTATAATATTGACAATGTAGTGTTAAAGTCTCCCACTATTATTATGTGGGAGTCTAAGTCTCTTTGTAAGTTATTAAGAACTTGCCTTATGTATCTGGGTGCTCCTGTATTGGGCACATATATATTTAGGATCGTTAGCTCTTCTTGTTGCATTGATTCTTTTACCATTATGTAATGTCCTTCTTTGTCTCTTTTGGTCTTTGTTGCTTTAAAGTCTATTTTATCAGAGACAAGAATTGCAATTCCTGCTTTTTTTTTTTTTTTTTTTTTTTTTTTTTTGCTCTCCATTTGGTTGGTAAATCTTCCTCCTTTATTTGTTTTGAGTCTTTGTGTGTCCTTGCAAGTGAGATGGGTCTGGATGCAGCATACCGATGGGTTTTGGCTTTTTATCCAATTTGCCTGTCTGTGTCTTTTGATTGGGGCATTTAGTCCATTTAAATTTAGGATTGATATTGATATATATGAGTTTAATACTGCCATTTAATGCTGGCTGGCTGTTTTGCCCGTTAGTTGATGTAAATTCTTCATTATGGTGATGTTCTTTACCTTTTGGTATGTTTTTGGAATGGCTGATACTGATTGTTCCATTCTATGTGTAATGCTTCTTTCAGAGGCTCTTGTAAAGCAGGCCTGGTGGTGATGAAATCTCTGAGTACTTGCTTGTTTGCAAAAAATTTTATTTTTCCTTCACTTATGAAGCTTAGTTTGGCTGGATTTGAAATTCTGGGTTGAAAGTTCTTTTCTTTAAGGATGTTGAATATTGGCCCCCACTCTCTTCTGGCTTGTAGGGTTTCTGCTGAGAGATCTGCTGTGAGTCTGATAGATAGGCTTCCATTTGTGGGTAACCTGGCCTTTCTCTCTGGCTGCCCTTAGCATTTTCTCCTTCATTTCAACCCTGGTGAATCTAACGATTATGTGCCTTGGGGTTGCTCTTCTTGAGGAATATCTTTGTGGTGTTCTCTGTATTACCTGGAGTTGAGTATTGTCCTGCCTTGCTAGGTTGGGAAAGTTTTCCTGGATAATATCCTGAAGAATATTTTCCAGCTTGGATTCATTCTCTTCGTCACATTCAGGTACACCTATCAAATGTAGATTAGGTCTTTTCACATAGTCCCATATTTCTTGGAGACTTTGCTCATTCCATTTCAGCATTTTTTTTCTAACCTTGTCTTCTCATATTATTTCATTAAGTTGGTCTTCGACCTCTGATATCCTTTATTCTGCTTGATCAATTTGACTGTTAAAACTTGTGCATACTTCATGAAGTTCTTGTATTGTGTTTTTCAGCTCTATTAATTCACTTATATTCCTCTCTAAATTGTCTATTCTCGTTAGCATTTCATCAAACCTTTTTTCAAGGTTCTTAGTTTCTTTGTATTGGGTTAGAACATGTTCTTTTAGCTCACAGAAGTTTCTTCTGAAGCCTGACTCTGTCAATTCATCACACTCATTCTCCATCAGGCCTTGTTCCCTTGCTGATGAGGAGCTGTGATCCCCTGTAGGAGGAGAGACATTCTGATTTCAGGTGTTTTCAGCCTTTTGCACTGGTTTCTTCTCATCTTTGTGGATTTACCCACCTCTCGTCTTTGTAACTGCTGACTTTCAGATTGGGTCTCTGAGTGGATGTCCAACTTACTGGTGATGAAGTTTTTCTGTTTCTTAGTTTTCCTTCGGCAGATGCCCCTCCCCCACAGAGCTGGACCTTCCTGGGTTCAGCTGTAATTGCTGTGAAACTCTCAATCTTCAGCACTTCCAATTGCTGTTTTTTTTTTGTGGGGTTGGGACCAGCTGAGCCCGATCACCTCGCTCCCTGTTTCAGAGCCTCTTCTTCTTCATTTTTTTTTTTTTTTTTTTAGTTGAACAGTCAACTCTCTCTCCTAGGTGTTCCAGTCACCCTCTGAAAAGGTACTGGGATCTGTGTAATTTCCCCTGTGGGGACCCACTGCCCTGGCTGAAACAGCGGCATTGAGATTCGTGGTGCTTTTCTGCCTGGGAATCTCCTGGTCTGGCTCCCTGCTTCAGTCCCCTTTTCAATCAGCTGAATGGGCAACTCTGCCTTCCCAGAGCTCCAAACACCCAACTAAAAGGGCACCCAGTCCCATATATTCCACACTGAGAACCACTGTGCTGGGGCGCCGGCAAAACAGCCGCACTGGCCAAAAGAGTCACGCTGGTGACCCATGGGTCTCCTCCGCTGGGAATCTCCTGGTCCGTGGGCAACAAAAATTTGTCTGGAAGTGTGGCATCCACTCACTCTGCGCTTTCACTTTCTGCTACAATCCTGAGCTGCTGCTAATCGGCCATCTTGGATCTCTCTCCTTTATAGTACATTTTAAGAACAACTTGTAATTTACGTTTTAATCCTCATTTGCAGTTTTCCCTGCCATCACATTTTCAGTCTTTTCTTTTTTTAGTTGAAGTCTCACTGTCTTGCCCAGGCTAGAGTGCAGTGACACAATCTTGGCTCACTGAAACCTCTGCCTCCTGGGTTCAAGCGATCCTGCTGCCTCAGCCTCCCTTGTAGCTGGGACTACAGGTGCACATGACCATGCCCAGCTAATTTTTGTATTTTTAGTAGAGACAGGGTTTCACCTTGTAGGCCAAGCTGGTCTGGAACTCCAGACCTCAAGTGATCCACCAGCCTCAGCCTCTCAGTGCTGAGATTACATGAGTGAGCCACCATGCCCAGCCCACATTTTTAATTTTTAAGAGCTGTTTCTTTTTCTTCAAATGCTTCTTTTTAAAATCTTATTGCTTTTGTTGGTCTTATCCCACTGACAGTTTAAAAGTGTAGTTTTAAGTTTTCCTCTCTTCTTGTATTACTCTATTTTTTGTGAGTTTCTTTTTTTTCCTCTTAGTTTTGATCGCTGTCCTTAGTTTTGTAGCCTTATGTAAACATCTGGTGATTCTTATTTAAAAATGAGGCAAGGAAAAGCTGATTGCATGTTCTTTGTGTGAAGTGGGCTCATCTACTTGGAGGGGCTTCACAATTTAGTGATTAGGGAGAAGACCTTTTGTTTGCCACACCCCGGAGCTGTATGTCTTTTCTTTTGGTCTACAACATTGTAGACAATTTTTCAGTTTCCTTCATGGTCAGGAGGGAAGGAGATTACACAGTGGGTGCAAGCCAGGTCATCGGAGGGCTGAGTGGGGAGAGAAGAGCAAGAGAGAAGTGTCTTATTCAGCACACAGACTATAACTTACACCCTGTGATCTGCAGGGTGCCCATGCCCCACGCTCTCACTTTCATTAGCTTTCCAGCTTCCAGCCTCTGGTTGTAATTCTTATCTCCTGTCTCCCCATCTAATCTCTCTGTCCTTGTGGATATATACATTTTTTTCATGTCTTTACTGTCATTTTAGAAGGATTTCACAAGGGATTTGCCATGTCTATCTGGAAATCCCTCAGTGAGGTTTTGGTGAGAAAATAGATGTATTTTCTGTATAATAGTGCTAGGACAGATAAGTCAGTTCTGTTTTTAATGAGGTTATGAGTTTAATCCTTGCATGAGGCAGCTTGTTGAGAAAAAGCTCATGGCTGTAGGTACATGCTTGGTCCCAACTAGATCTTGTACTGGTGTCATCAGACTTAGTATTAAATGGTGACTGTGATTGTTACTGTCACTGGAAAAACAACTAAAAGGCCAGTAGACCCTGCCTCCTGTCCCCCTGTTCTCTTCTGTGTTGCTTCTACAGCTAACTTTGTTTTGTATGTTGCTAAGAAATCAGATGAGCTCTCTCACCTCTTTACACCTGCAAATTCCCCATGCAGATCCTCTGCCTTCCATCTTGCTATTGTGGATGAAGTGTCATCATTCCTGGCCGGGCTCTTCCTTTGGTTACAGGTTTTCCTTTTCTTTCATTTTTGCCATGATTTCACTTAAAATCAGCCCTTGTGCATCATTGAATCTTCCCTCTTAATCTCGTCCTTCTCCTCATACCTGAGTACGTCCCATCTTCAGAATGTGTGTACTCTCAGCCATTGCGTGTTGCTCTGCTCCCCTTTCTGATATGAATTCTTAAAGTCATCTATAATTTGTTTCCGTCTATCACGGACGCCTTCCACCCACGGTAATGACGCCTGTCTCCGTGACTCCATTGAAAACTGCTTCACCAGTGACTCCATGTGGCTAAATCCACTGGTCTCTTCGCATTGCTTGTCTTACTTGATCATTGGCAGCATTTGGTATAGCCCATGGTCCCCAGCTCCTTGAAGCACTTTCTTTACTTGGTTTCTGGGAAAGCACACCCCCAGGTTTCCCCTGACCTCATCAGCGATTCCTTCTTATTCCTTTAACTCTTCTTCCTGGGGCTGGTCTTTAAATCTTTAAGTACCTGGTCCAGACGTCAGCCCCCTCTCTTCTCTGTCCATGCTGTTTTCTTTGGAGAGTTCACCTAGTCCTGTGGCTCTAAATACCAGCTGTATGCTTATGACTCAAACACTGATTTTTCTAGCCCTGACCTCTCCTGTGAGCCCAGGTGCATATACCCAAATGCCTATTTGACATCTTTATTTTTCTGCCTCAATGTATCTCAAGTTTCACAGGCCCAAAACAAGACTTTCCCTTCCTACCTGTTCTTATCCATCACCTCAAAAATCTGTTATTTCCCATGTCTTTTGCATCTCAGCAGATGGCAACACTATCACCCGATTGCTTAAGATCTAGGAATCATCCTTCATCTTTGTTTTCCTTTCTATCTTCTACCCTTCCCATTAGGACATAGCTCAATTCTTTGGACCCTCTTGACCTCCACTGCCATCTCCCCAGGCTAAGCCCATTCTTATCTAGCTTAGACTTCCGCAGCAGTCTCCTCAGTGGTCTGCTTTCATTCTTGCCTCCTTATTTATTCTGCAGATAGTGATCAGCATGATCCTTTAAAAACTGAAGTCAGATCATGCCATTCTCCTGCTTCAGACTCTTCTGTGGGTTTCCGCTGTGCTTGGAATCAGTTCCAGAGCCCTTGCTGTGCCCGTAGTTCCCTCAGGTTCCAGCCCTCGCTTCTCTTGCTGAGCTCCTCTCCCATGTCCTATGTTGCCCACTGCACTCCAGCTGCACTTGGTTTCCTTTTCCATTTCTCACACATGCCAAGCCCCTTCCTGATACACCCCCGAGATGTTTACACTAAAACTGGCTCTGTGCCATTTTCTTAAAGAGGATGTCACTTCCTTAAAGAGGCTTTTTCTGATCATATCTCATCTAAAGTTCTTCGGTCCCTAGTCGCTATTACATCTCCATTCATTCATTCATTCATTCGAGACAGGGTCTTGCTTTGTTACCCAGGCTGGAGTGTAGCGGCACCACGAGTCACTGCACCCTTGACCTCGGCCCAAGTGATCCTCCTGCCTTAGCCTCTCAAGTAGTTGCCTGGCTAATTTTTTAATTTTTTATAGAGACAGGGTCTTGCTCTGTTACCCAGGCTGGACTTGAACTCCTGGGCTCAAGCAGTTCTCCTGCCTTGGCCTCCTGAAGTGCTGGGATTCCAGGCATAAGCTACCATGCCCAGCTGCTGTTTTGTTTTATTCACAACACTTATTACCATCCAGATGATCTTGCTCACTTGTATATTGTGTATTGATGATAATCTTGCTGTAAGAATTGGGAGCAGAATACTCTCAAAGCATAAAATGGAGCCCGACGTATTAGTGGGCATTCAATGAAGATCGAATGAATGAATGACCAAACAACAAATGAACAATTTGCCTTTTTTTTTTTTTTTTTACGTGAACTGTAGTCCTTTTTTTTTTTTAAATTGGAACAGACAAGTGCTGCATTGGTGTTCCAGAACTCTAGTCCTTTTAAAAGTTCTTATTTATTTGAATTTTCCTACCCATTAGGAAATTAGAAAATTAAAAGAATAAAGATCTTCAGCGTAGTGACTTCTGACAAATCTCAGGTTATAACAAGATTATGTCAGAGTCCCAAGCCACATGGGTTCTTGGTTTTCTGATTCTTCATTGTGCCCTCCAGATTCCTTATTCCATTGCAAAAATTTCTTGAAGATTAACTAGATTGTTTCCAATCTCTTGAGGACTAATTGGAGGACATTATGCTTGTATTCCTGCTATGTTTGTCAACAAGGAGCTAAAATCACATCAAGGTTTTAATAAATTCAATTTCTTTAAAAAACAGGTCACCTGGTGGTAGACCCATTCATAAGAGGAAAAAACAGAATTCACACTGGGATCCAGTTTCTTTAATATCTCATGCACTTAAGCAGAAATTTGCATTTCAAGAAGATGATTCTTTTGAGAAAGAAAATAGATCTTGGGAATCTTCCCCATTTTCTAGTCCAGAAACTTCAAGGGTAAGCTAAACTAGTGTAAAATTACTTTTTCAGTTTTCTCAGGTGTACTTTTCCTGATACAGCTTTGTATCATGTTTTTACGTCATGTTCTCTTGACATAATTGTGCAGAATGGGCTGTATAATTGTTTATTGATGGTGCTGATGTTTCTGGGTTTTTTGTTGTTAATATTATATGCTCATTTTCATTTTTAGCCTATTAGGAGGTTTTTTTTGGAACAAAATACTTAATTTGAAAAATACGTGTGCATATGTTAATAATGACTTACCTTAGACAGGTGCCAATTTGATAGTGCCATCTGTAGTACGAACTGGGTGTCTGAAACTTTGAGAGGACCAGGAAAGAATGGGGCAATAGATTTACCCTAACCATATGGAATGTGAATATGCCAAGATTTTTCTCAGTCAAATATAAAGACTTTGAATTATTTTGTTGAATGTAATGTTAACTCTGCATGTAAATAAGCAAATGGGGTTATAGTTACCATTCGTGACAGCACTTACTGGATGCCTAGAAGGACAGACACTGGATTTTAAGCATTTGAGCTTTAAGATTCCTTACTTGAATTCTCTTTTCTTAAATTTAGAAGTAATTCTAATTTTGCGGTAGTTTTCACATGTCTTAATTTAGTTGAAGTAGTATTAATACATAAGTGTCTCTTAGCACTTTCTAACCAAGTATTTTAGAGAATCATCGTTTTTCCTTTAAACATATTTTGTGCACTTAATTTCAGGCCAGACATGTAGGGACTCAAATTATAGTTGCCTAAGAGCTCAGTCTGTGCCACTGAGAGTGTCTCATTCACTTTTGTCTTTGGCTCTGAGTGTAGTGCCTGATACATAGCCAAATAACTATGTATTATAGTAATACATACAGTAAATAAATATTGTGAATTAAACCTCAAACGGTCATTTGACCTTTGTCTTTCCATTCATTTTTTTTTAGAATGATTTCTATGTTAATTATTTGCTTTATTTCAGTTTGGATGTCACATTTCAGAGTCAGCAGGACAGCGAACTAAAGAAGAAATGGTCAACACAAAAGCTGTTGACCAAGGTATCAGCAACACAAGCCTTCTAAACTCAAGGATTTAAACTCAACTTAAGGTTAAGCCTTAAACTTCTAAAACTTCTTCCTGGATGGTACATTATTCTTAGAAACTGATGTGAACTGTTAAATCTAAAAGTAGAAGTATTTAAAGACTCTTCTTGACAAGTTTTGCCTACACTTGCTCTGTAAATATGTGTGCCTGTCATTTGTGTTTCCTTTGTTCCTTTTGACATTTACACTCTGTTCTTCTTTACATAGAGCTTAAAATAAACATTCCTTTGGAACTTGCTTGTGTTTTGTAGCAATTCAGATTCATGTTTTCTCACCACTCTGACCTTTTTTTTTCTTTCATGAGAGGGAGTTCCATAGGTAGAGTTTCTCGGATAATAGAAATGAAACATAAATTTGTAACAGATATTTTGTCCCTCTTCACCCACATACTAATGTGATATGGAAATTTGCATGTTTCCCTGGACCCTTGAGACTGTGCAACAGCCAGGGAGCTGAGGTCACCTCATTGGGATGGACTCAGCCCCACCCATTTTCCAAGCTCTTGACTCTCAGCAAAGCCCAGGTTTCCTACAGTTTTCTTGTTCCTGTAGCAGAGGGTTGCTTGCCTGGCCCCACCTCCATTCTCAACCCTTTCTCCTGGCCATATTCCAGTTAGGAGTAGCTATGTGGCAGTCATCTGATGACCATGAGGAAAAGGCTTAGAATCACAGAGATGGCATTGATTCAACTGTTGAACCAACATCAGCAAGATCTATTTGCAGACTTCTTGTCAGAAAGATATATGAGAAAGATACGCCTTGTGGGTTTTCTGTTATTTGCAGCCAAAAGCATTTGTAATGATACAGCAAGTATAGTGGAGTAGATTTTATTTTTTTAAGAGACAAGATCTCATTGTGTGCTTACGCTGGAGTGTGGTGGCACAGTCATGGCTCACTGCAAGCTCAAATTCCTGGGTTCAAGTGATCTTCCTGCCTCAGCCTCCAAAGTATATGGAATATAGGTGTGTACCACCATCCTGGCTGATTTGTAGAAACAGGGTCTCATTATGTTGCCCAGGCTAGTCTCGAACTCCTGGCCTCAAGTGATCCTCCTGCCTTGGCCTCCCAAAGTGCTGGGAGTATAAACATGAGTCACTGCACCTGTTGTAGTATAGTTTTGATGCCTGCCTGTTATTCCTTCTGTGCTTTTTTTTTTTTTTAAGGAGACAGGGTCTTGCTCTATTGCCCAGGCTGGAGTGCAGTGGTGTGGTCATGGCTCACTAAGGCCTCCGATTCCTGGGCTTAAGTGATCCTCTTACCTCAGCCTCCTGGGTAGCTGGGACTACAGGTACATGCCATCATGCCTGGCTAATTTTTGTATTTTTTTTTTTTTTTTGAGACGGAGTTTCGCTCTTGTTACCCGTGCAATGGCGCGATCTCGGCTCACCGCAACCTCCGCCTCCTGGGTTCAGGCAATTCTCCTGCCTCAGCCTCCTGAGTAGCTGGGATTACAGGCATGCACTACCATGCCCAGCTAATTTTTTGTATTTTTACTAGAGATGGGGTTTCACCATGTTGACCAGAATGGTCTCGATCTCTTGACCTCGTGATCCACCTGCCTCGGCCTCCCAAAGTGCTGGGATTACAAGCTTGAGCCACCGCGCCCGGCAATTTTTGTATTTTTTGTAGAGACAGGGTTTCACCGTGTTGCCCAGGCTTGTCTCAAACCCCTGGGTGTAAGTGATCTACCCACCTTAGCCTCCCAAAGTGCTGGGATTACCAGCGTGAGCTACTGTACCTGGCCTGTGATTTCTTGATATTTCTTATCCAGCTACCAATAGTTTATTTGTTCTTGCTGTTGTTCCTGCCCCTCTTATATGCTTTCCCCACCCTGACTTTTCTCATTATCCTTGTAATGAGAGGTTTTTTTCTCTTGAAATAACTTTTTTTATTTCCCAAGGTAGGTAGGCTTGCATTTTCAATTTTCTAGTTTCCTTGTTCAAAAATGTGTAATCAACAATCCCTCAACAACCAGCAGGCATCTTTGGAAGATACTGTCATCTGCCAAGTGAACAATATTGTTTCTTGACAAACCCCAAGTTGGGTTTTTGATGAGCTTTTCTGTTCTATATTAGAACAAATTTCCTGCCTTCCCAAAGCACATTTCAACACCAATGATGCCTTGGGATTGAGCTGAGCTTATGCTCTGCTGTATGTGGAAGTATAACTCTTGGTATCTGGGCGGACATGACCGTATGCCCTAAAATCCCAAGAAGCCTAAGGCCTTATTTTGGGCTCCTGCTAACTGTTGTGTTCACTTTAGAATTCTTGAGGATTGGGGACTCAGTTTAGGCCTTCCTCACAAGCCTGTACATAAATGACCTCATGCCCAAGTATTTAAAATTCAGATTTGATTGCTTTTAAATTTGATGAAATCTACTGTAAATGCTGAAGCTCTCTTGTAAGTTTCGTTAATAGCTTCTTTTCCTGACTCTGAAACACTTCTCTGTTTGCCCTGGCAGAGTCCCTTCTCCCACTTCCTCAAAGGCCGTGGAGTAGGTTGTATTTTCCTCCAAACTGGCTGTTAGTTAATGCCCTGAAACTAAGGTGTTTGAGCAAGGACAGTTCACAAGGCATTCTACATCTATTTTATATTTGGAAAGGTTTTTAAAAAGCATTTTATAATATAGACTGCAGGAAGTTAATGTTCAAAATCTTGACTGGTTGATATGCAGATGACGGTGGTTTTCAAGGCAGGAGGGAAAACACGACTCCCTGGGAATGTGTATCAGAATCTGGAGGGGACCCAGATTGGAAACAGTGACATGGGGCCCTGGGGAAGAAAGATCAAAAGGTTGTACTTTTACAATGAAAATGTGTTTGTGTTTTAATTATGAAATCTAAATAAAAATTTCCAACAGTCCATCGAGGTTGCTATAACAAAATACGTAAACAGAGGGGCTTACAAACAATGGAAATTTATTTCTCACAATTCTAGAGGCTGGGAAGTCCAAGATCAAGGTTCTGGCAGATTTGGTGTCTGGGGAGGGTCTGCTTTCTGGTCCATAGAAGGCCCAGCCATCCTCTTGCTGTGTCTTCATGTGGCTGAAGGGGTGAGAGAGCTCTCTTGGGTCTTTTACAAGGGCACTAATCACAGTCATGAGGACTCTGCCTTCTTGATCTAATCATCTCCCAAAGGCCTCACCTCCCAAATACCATCTTCTTAGGAGTTAGGATTTCAATGTGTAAATTTTGGAGGGACAGAAGCATTCGGTTTATTGGAATTAGGTTTGGGGAGAAACAGCCATTTATACAGAGGATAATTTAGATGGCAGCAACCAGGAAAGAGCATTTTAAACAGGTTTTGTGAGATATAAAGCCCACTTTCTTCTCAGATTGGAGAGGCTTAGTTAAGTATACAATGGATTTATTTTAAATTGATCTTCTTCCCCTCAAAAAAAAAAAAAATCCACAAAATTCCAACAGGTCAAGAAGAGTGACATGTAAGATTTTATATTAGAAAAGGGCTGTTGAGTTGGTTTCTCTGGCAAGCAGGCTCTGAGTAGAGATGAACATGCAGGACATCTCTGGGCATGTCCTCAGGATAACACTCAGGTGAGGGGCTGGCTGGGCTGCGATGCAATCTCACCAGGGCCTCGGCACATCCCGGGGGCTCTGGAGTTGTCCCCCATCACTCTGGGGTTGCTGGGTCTCTACACTTTCTCATTCACTAAGCATTGGGGGGCTTGACCTTGAACAGAGCAAACTTCTTGAGCTGAGGGCAATTTTCAGAGAGGGTTATCAGGCCTGAGGACGGGGCATGGTGGTGCCTCACAGTCCGCTACAGAGGACATGGTTTCTGAAATTGTTACAGAGCCCACAGAACCAGACATAATTACTTGCCTTAAATTCCAAAGCCTGCCTTGCATTGGAGTTAGCTCGAGTAATACAAATTGTCCAGAATTTTCAATACCTCCTGTCTTGTTATCCTTTGACCAAACTAGTTCTTATATTTATCTTGTGGAAAATGTTTGCTTTTAAAAAATTAGAGTGGGGTTGGGTAGGAAAGCCTTCCTGTCTCTAAAGATCTGTCCCTGTCAGCTCCTGAAGTGTCTGTGCCTATGGCCTTGCTTGTGGGTCAATTCCACGGTGACTTCAGTAGCTTCATGGGGAAAAGTAAGGGTGGGTAACTATGGCTGGTTGGTCACAGCTTTGTCCTTTTCTCTTCAGGGAAATTCCTGTGTTTATAAGGACACAGAGCATGAAGCAGTTATCGCATCATGGAAATGTATCAGGAGAACTGAGTTATCACTTCTCTGGGCCTCAAACTCCTCAACTGTAAAACGAGGAGGCCAAATGGAATGTGCTCCAAGGTCCAGTGTACAACACTAACATCCTGTGATTTACTTTCTCCAGTGCAAAAGACAACCACAGCTCAGCTGGGTTGCAATTTCAGTGTCTGCCCTCTGTGTCAAATTTGGGCACAGTGGGGAAATGACTGTGGGTCCCAGAGAACTGTTACACTATATTTAAGAATAAGCTGTAATTGATTTTTTAGGTGATAAACACTCACTTTGTTTTTTGTTTGTTATTTGTTTGTTTTTGAGAAGGAGTCTTGCTCTGTTGGCCAGGTTGGAGTGCAGTGGTACAATCTCCGCTCACTGCAACCTCTACCTCCTGGGTTCAAGCGATTCTCCTGCCTCAGCCTCCAGAGTAGCTGAGATTACAGGCATGGTCCACCATGTCTGGCTAATCTTTGTATTTTTAGTAGAGGCAGGGTTTCACCATGTTGCCCAGGCTGGTCTGGAACTCCTGACCTCAAGTGATCCATCTGCCTCAGCCTCCAAAAGTGTTGGGATTACAGGTGTTAGCCACTTGCCTGACCATAAAGCTCTCACTTTGAATGGCACGTACCATGTACCAGTTCTGTTCCTAGTGCTTGCCATGGAGGTGTATCAGCACTATGCAATGTAGGTTATTGTTATACTCATTTTACAGATGAGGAGATAGGCATAGAGAGATGATCTCCATCCCAGTAGATAGCCCAGGTTCTCACAGCTCATTAAGTGTCAGAGCTGGAATTTTCTTTTTTTCCCCCCTAACATGAGCTTCCTCAACTTTCCAAGAAGCCGAGACTACAGGTGCATGCCACTGTGTTGGGCTTTAAAAGTTGGGATTGGAACCCAGGCAGATTGGTTTTCTAATCCATGTTTTAAGCTCCTAGTCAACAGTTCCCATCTTATACATTTGTTTCTCTATTTATTTATATTTTGCTGTGTCCCAGAAATAATTTAAGGC